GGGAGAACATATCCACGACCACGAGGACGAACTTCTCGACAAACTCCTGCGTCGGGAGGATCGTGACCCGCAGCACGACGACAGGCTCCAGCGTCACGGGGAATGCGTCCAGCAACGCGACGGCCTCCAGCGTCACGCAAATCGCGGCCGGGACTACGACGACAAGCTCCAGTCATGGGGATCGCATCCAGGATCACGACGACAAGCTCCGGCACCGCGATGATTCTGGTCCCCCGTGCCCGCGCCGAACTGGAAGCGATGCTCGAAGGGCCCCTTGGTGTCCTCGCCCAGCCGCAGCCCCAGCGCGAGCGCGTCGCGCCGCTCCAGCTGCGACACCCTCCCCGGACAGACCCGATCCTACACCTCGGTCCGATTGTGTGGCAACGCGTCCGAGAGTGTGCGGCGTTGACCACCCGTGCAATCGCGAAGACCGCTGCCACGATCACTCAGGCGAGCAGCCCATCGACCCGACGAGCCGCGCCGTGATTTTCAGGCCCAGCCCGAGGAGCGGCCCCACGACCACAAGCCGAGCACGAGGAGCGGCTCCGCGACCACGAGAACGAGGAGCTTCCCGACCAAACGGCTACACGCAGGAGCGGCCCCTGGGTAAGAGTGACCTCTGGTGGGCGGCTTTTCGAGGGCCGCGGGGGGACCAACACACAAGCGCGCAAGACGCTATCATCGCATCGCGTTCGGCCATCGGGGGACCCCATTGGCTCCGCACCAAAGGTCACTCCAGCGAGGGGTCACTCTTACGTCTAGTCGAGACCAACTGGCCGAACAGCTTCCCGACCAGGAAGACCGGGCCGCCCGCAGCGCGAATAACATCAGGCCGAGCACGAAGAGCGGCACTGCGGCCACGGAGACGAAGAGCCCTGTGACCGACCGGTCGAGCACCACCAGGACCAGGAAGGCGAGGCCCACGACCGAGCCGACCATCTCTTCGACCACAGCGACGGCCGGCTCAAGTGGTCACCACGGCGAGCAATGCAACGACGGGGTCGGCCAACTCCGCAGCCACTGGGAACAGCGACTTCGCGGCCCGGACGAGCAGCACGGCGACCGGGTCGAGCAGCTCCACGGCCCAGAAGGGAGGAGCTGCTCCGCGACCTGCAGGCCCCGAGCAGGTCTGCGAGCGGGCCGAGCGCCTGCGCGGCCGCCAGGGGGAGCTCGCAGCCCGGCTCCGCGACTGCTGAATCCAGGAGAGCGTCGGGGCCCACTTGGGCACCGCTTGAGAGGATGGGGGCTCGTCGCGGCCTATGCACCCCAACGCAGGCCACGCGTCGACGTGCGCATGCGCTGGAACTCACAGGAGAACCACGGTGTGGCACATTGGCGAGATGACGCGCAAACGAAGCATAGTGCCCGATGCGTGTTGCCACTCGCTCTGGCGCACCTGTGCAGTCTGTGCTCGTCGTTCCCCTGGCACAGCTGGAGCAGGGGACGCGCATAGCGAATGTAGACCACCTGGCGCATCTGGCACATCAGGCGCAACTTGCGCGCTTAGGCCCATGGGACACCTGGCGCACCTGGTCCACGCAGCGCACAAGGCACGCTTGGCGCATCCGAATCTCTCGAGCGTCACTCACATGGCGTCTGTATTGGTTCCCAATGCATGTCCATCCGATGGCGACATTTGCCTAGACTGAGTCTCGGGTGCTCCTTTTATGCCGGCAGTGCGGGTGGGAGTGAGCGAGACAGCTTGTGGCGTTCCCGTTGGGTGACGACTGGTCCTTTTGACAAATACCCCCTCCCCAATTCGGCCGGCGGCCGATCAGGAACCATGCTGACTACCCCCCAAACCATTTGCCAAAAATAATGCATCAGGTACGCTGCGTCAAAATGTTGGACAATGCGCGAGGGTCCGCGATCACTCTGCATGCGTTTTTGACAGGGGCGGCGGGGCGGTGCAGCGTATTGCCTGGTGCGCGCACGCCGCCAGAATCTTGTGTCTTTGGTTTGACAGGGGTTATTGGAGGGCCCGCATCTTGTCTGGTGCGTGCGGGCCCACCATCCCTGTGAAACGTACATGTAAATACACGCGGGTGCACACGAACACGCCATGCACACTGACGACCACCACGCCGCCGTTGCACCTTTGCCTTTGCTCAGGATGCTGGGGGGTCGACATGCTTCGCGATGTGCGCGGTCACGTGTATTGGCGTACCTTGCACTGAGACTCGGTGCTACTTCTGTGGAGGGCGGGTGGGAATGAGCGAGACGGCTTGCGGCCGTTTTTCGGGGTAGGTTGACCCATCCATACCCCCTACAATGGGCATGGACTGGATGGCAGCGAGATGGCAGAGGTATCTATTGGTCTAAATTTGCTCCAGCAGTGTCCCAGATAGTCCACGATGGCATTCAAGATGGCTGAAGAAACTTGAACGTGGACCAACATCACCCAACAAACCTTCGAGAGGCTGCAGCGTGCGCCAGAAAGATCCACTTGGCCACGAAGCCTCCCAACGACGTCCCCAAGAGGCGAACCGCCTTCGAAAAGTTATGGCTTGGCTCAGTGGCGCTGGGTTTCCCGACCCCGCCTGTGCGCCTCTGACAGGCCTCCGAGGCCCAAGGACGAGAGACCGGAGCGGCCCACGAATGGCTCCGAGATGGCCCGGAGGCCCCCGGGAGTGCCCGAGGGCGCCCCAAGAGGGCCCCAAAACGCGAGGAGGCTCAGGAGGATGAAGAACCATTGCTTGCTCATGCACGGTCGCCTGGATCGTGCCCTGCGGGCCTAGAGGGCCCCCGAGAAAGCCCCAAGATAGCCGGAAGAGGGCACAAGTACCCCAGCAGAGCACCCTGATAGCAGCGAGGGTGAAGAGGCGGGACGAGGAGCAGCTGGTCGGCCATGGGGGACAGGGACGAGAGCACGTCAAAATGTGCACCTCAAGGTATTTTGTGCCAGGGATCGTGGCCGTCTGAACCAAACATGTAGCCGACATTGAGGCGAGAGCCCGACTTCTCAATAAATTGTGAGGAGGTCTCAAGCGAAACGGCTGCCTGGCGGTCTATGGCTCCCCGTCCACTCTAGCGAAACGCTGTTTCACGACAAACCGAGAAGACAATCGTAAGCCTTAACAAGTAAAGCCGTCCCCACCCCCTCTGGGGAAACCTCGGCCCCGCTGGCCCACCTACCCCCATAAGGTGGGGATAGGTGCCTCCTCCTTCGAGTCTCGCAGCACCCATCTCCACCTAGAGGAGACACGCTTGGAGAGCCACACTACCTGGTCACAATAGGGGTTGGGATGGATGGTTTTGATGATGACCAATAAGGCCGTCACAGTGCCCCACTGGAACCCCTGCATCCCTGGGAGAATGCAAGCGAGGTGTGCAGGTGATATGGCGGCTGCCATTCCGAATATAGTGTCGCTGCATGCTCATACACTTTGCTGATCAAGGCAGCTCGCCTAGGCATCGATCGTATATAGAATCGGGGGATAGAGGATGCATCAAGAATCCACCCTTCGTTGCCCAGCATCGTGCAGAATCCATACCCCTGTTTCGTTGACATTCGCGAGCCTGCTCAACATCCTCCAGCTATCGAGCGGTGTGATCCCGAGAAGTCACCAATAAGGCCAAAGCTGCCGCAAGGGCAACCCAAGAGGCCCCAAGAGACACCCAACATACCCGCAACGATGGGAACATGGGGGGCCCACGATGCCGCCAAGAAGACCAAATGGGGCTCACGCGAAGACCAAGATCCCCAAGTTGGCACTGAGAAGTTGAACATGAGCCTCAAAAGAAGCCCGAGTAAGCTTACCGGACGAACAACATCGACTACAACATTTTTTGTTTTGCGCCCGCGTCTGCTCTACATGACCTTCCGCAGCCTTCGGATCACGGAGCGAGCACCTGGGTCATATGCTTCCAACGCGCGGGGAAAATCGCTGCCTCGGAACGCCTGCGCTACGTCAGCACCACTCGCAGGCAAGAGGAACTCGCAGAAGCAAAGTGCACGCGGGGAACGCAGCGGAGGAGGGAGGAAAGGGGAAAACAACACAAATGGAGTCAACACACAACGCCACACCGCGGCGGCTGCTGTGGATTACCCTACAGCATCTACGCCGGTCGGAAAAGTCGTATGCTTGAAATGATCCAATGTTGTCGCCCGGACAGCTTCGAGCTCTGTTTGAAACCCAAGTCAAGATAAAAAAGAAGCGTCTCGATAGGAACCGCCTCATCTGGTAAAACCGGGCAGAAAAGAAGGGGGCGAGAAGACACCAAGAAGAGGGAGGAGGACGGAGGAGGAAAGGACAAAACAGGCAAGCCGCAAAAGCGGGAGATGCAGGTATGGGTGCAAGCACTCGCCAAAGTTTGTAAATGAAATAACTACGGTGATGAGGCACAGCCGTGCCCCGCAGCATCGGAGGGCCGGCATCCGGCGACGAGAAGACGAGCCGAGGGCGACGCGAAGCGGCCCGTGGGGTCGGCCAAACGCGGCCGTGAGCTAAGCCCACACACGCTACCCATGCACAAAATTACACGGAGAGGCGGAGAAGGAGGGAAGGGAGGAGCAATCAAAGCAAACCTGAACATTGCAGAGCCAGCCGGAGCAGAAGCATCAGCGTCACCAACACGACAGCCCCACCCGCCCCAGCAGCCGCAGCAGTCACCAGGGCGCCCGAGGAGCAGGAGGATGGCCAGCAACTACGACAAGTACCACCAGCACACGGCGAACATCGACTACAACAAATGAGTCAATACATCATGCTTCCGAGATGGCCATGGCGCCTCCCAGCCGAGGTCCCAAGACGGCCCCAAGATAACCCTTCATATATATGTATATATGTATACATATAACTAAATATTAGATGTCGAGGATCGGCCCTGGAGACACCAGTTGAAAGTGGCAGAGACTACCCCTCCAATGTTCCCTCCAATTGTTGCCGCGACTGCTGGGGGGAACACTCGGGCAACCAGCCTCGGCCCTCCAGCAGAGGCTGCCCACACAGCAGGCATTGCAAACAACATTCAGGGGGCGGCGGTGACTCGCCGTGGGCGTCCTCGATCGTGCATGTCCATGTGCTTGCCCATGCCTATCACCGCGTCTGCCTCCTCGTGCCTGATGAAGCCCTCCACCTCGAAGATCACGGGCCTCAAGGACAGCGTCTTTAGCCGGAGGGGCCTTCCCTCCAATACCCCGGTCGCCTCCTGCACGAAGCCGACCCGCACGGCGGGCCACATCCACACCCCGATCTCCAGCAGGAACGCCACTCGCAGGCCAAGCAGCGCCTCCACCGTCTCCAGCCGAGTGCCCTGAGCGTCGAAAAAGGCCCAAGGCGTCTGCAGCGGCTCGGGCGGCATGATCCCGAGCGCGGACTCGAAGGCAGCCCGCGCGGCCTCCATCGTCGCCCAGCCCGCGCGGACAGCGATGGGCTCTCCGTCCCGCGGCCTCTGGCAGTCCTTGTAGATGCGGACATCACTGGGCCCCACATCCAGCAGGTGCAACCCAGGGAAGTACTCCTCGAGGGGCAGCGCTCCACAGGGGGGGGGGGGGGGATGCCAGCTCTCCCGGCCTTGAGGAAGCCTTCTCCTAAACGCCGGGGGCCCTTCCATGAGTCCATGAGGGACCCCGCCTTCTGCGGATCCCCACCCGCCCTCTTGGATGTCCGCTCCTCTCTCGCACCTCCCTTGCCCAAAGACCCAATGTGCTCAACGTTTCGATGCGGGGTCCACGGAAGTCCCGTGCCCTCCCCCAGGGTCAATTGTCCGTCCCGATCCGTTTTTTGCGGGCCCCCGGGGCCCGGCGAGGGCCCCTGAAGCCAGAACGCTCGCCAAAACCTCCCGCAACGAGAGAGCAATGGTCTGGGCCCCCTCGTGAAAAGCGCCCCTGGGGTGCCGCGTCCCCAGCCTCGGCCAGGTAGTCTGCGGCCTCCAGGGAGCGGGCCGGCGCTGGGAGGCGGCACAGGGCCGCCAGCGCCAGCAGCAGGCAGAGCCAGGGCTGCGTGTCAGACATTGCCTGCCGGGCGCGGCCGGCGCGGCATATGCGCGGGGCCGCTGCCCTTCTCGCTGCCGACCATTGGGCCCATGTCCTCTGGAGCCGAGGCATGAGCGACAAAAAGAAAGAGGTCGTACGCGAGATGGCAAAGCTACGTTACGAGGCGTCTTGCGCGGGCCGCCAGCGCGGCACTCTACATTGGTGAGGAGGGCGCTTACGCTCGACCTTACGCGGGGAGCTTAGGCGCCAGCCGGCGAAGGCGACCCCGTTTTTGCTCACATGTTGAGCAGCAGGAGGTACCAATGCTGATCCGTGAGGTAAAAGTTGGCGGCGCGCACAAGGGGCCGGCCCTGCGTCAATCATTAGGCAGGGCCCACGCCGTCTAAGAAGCGGCTTCCTTCTAAGAAACCATCCCTGAAGGGGCCCTGTGGGACACAAATAAATAGACACAAAAAACACAATTCCCCATATTTTCCAATATGTTCTGGGTTTCCTCCCCCCACACTTCCAATAGTTTCCCATATTTTCCTGGGAGTCGACGATTAATTGTGTCAGTGTGTTTTGTTCACTCCTGAATACCCCCTCCCCTACACCCTCTGCGCGTGGATGAGGAAGCATGTGGATATGCGATATGACGACGTGAGCGTTTCAGTTCAGCCAGAGCCAGAGTTGTGTGAGCGCTGCCTGCTGTCCAGCGGCTCGGAAAACAATGCACATGGATTGCGTGCTTGCAAAGGGAGGGGTCGGCCTTCACGCGTCAACCGCATGATCATCTCCGACACAAACATCAAAGCCACTAGGCCAGACCCACCACCCACGAGTCCCAAAGCACGAGACACCACATCGAATCCACAAGATATTCGAAATCAACCTTTCGGCCGCGATGAATTAAGCGACGCCGGCCATGACGCACGCAAGACCGAGCGCCTGAGGGCCCGAGTGGCGGGCCTCCCCCTCCTTCATCCGATGCTCTCGTCGAGTAACCCCCGTTTTACTCCCGCCGCTTTCCTCCTCCACGGGTATGAGGCCGCAGCGCCGCTCAGCATTCAACCCTCACGCGTCCACCACGTGCTGATAGTCGCCGGAGCAGGAAAACCACGACACCAGCCCCCGTTGGGTCAGGAGCAGGACAAGGATCAGACGCCAGAGCAAAAGAAGGAGAAAACGGCGGGAGACGCAGGAGCAGGAGGCACAGATGCAGCAGCAGCTCGAGCAGCCCGAGCAGTGCAGCCCCGACCCCCCCACCGGCATCTCGCGCAGCGCCGAGAGTCGCCTCGGGAGGCCCCCGCAACGCCCGCCAGTCTGGCCGGTCTCGCCCCCGCCCTGGCGAATCCCCCATCCCTCCCCCTTCCCCTCCCTCCCCTTTCTACTCCTCGTTCTCCCTCCTCCCTCCCATCCGCACACTCTCCCTGCCCCCCTCCCGTCCACCTCCTTTCTCCGTCTCGGTCTCTGTTCCACCCCTGTTCATGTCACTGCACCTCCCACGTTGTGAGGTTGACCCGCGCGGTATTTGCAACCTGCGGGGGCATGGCAGACAGACTTGTCCGAACTGCTGCGCTCTCCGTCTCGCTCTCTCCTCCCTCGATTGCTCCAGCCTCTACCCCTGCGTCGCTCCATCCCTCCTCCTCCGTCCCTCCTCATCACCTTTGTCCACTGTCACTCCCCCCTCTTCCTCCACTATCCGATAAATCACTATCCTCCTCCACGATACGTCCCCAGACCTCTCTCCCGGGGTGCGTTCTGGCTCGAATTTTCGAGGCGAATCCAGCCGTGGCGACGAGGACCTGCCAGGAGGCCCAAAAAGGCGAGAAAGAGTCAAAAGTAGCGAGCTCGGTACCTATTCACCCTCTGGGGTCTTGGGCCCATCCTTCCTCCCACCTCCCCGTAAGTGGAGCGCGAGACGAACCAAGAAGGACTGGCCATTGCCGGGGAGACAGAAGAGGGCCACCACTTCTAGGCCTCCTTGGCGCGTCTGGGAGTAGGGTAGGAGGACGGGGGGGGGGGGCAGGGTGGCCAAGGAGGAGGCTCTTGGCCATGCCAGTATGTCACATCCTCCTCGACCTCCTCCACTTCCTCCTCCTCGTCGCCCTCCTCCCGTCCCCTCCTCCTCGTCCTCGCCCTCCTCCTCCTTCGCCTCCTCTAGCTCCTCCGCATCAGAGCATCATCATCATCATCATCATCATCATCAACAACAACAACAGCAGCATCTTTATCATCATCATCATCATCATCATCATCAACATCATCATCATCATCATCATCATCACAATCAGCATCATCAGCATCATCATCAGCATCAACATCATCACCATCATCATCAGCAGCGACAGCATCAGCAGCAGCGCCACCATCGTCATCATCACCATCATCACCGCCATCATCACCATCACCATCACCATCAGCATCATCATCATCACCATCAACATCAGCATCACTATAATCATCATCATAATCGTCACCATCGTCATCGTCGGCATCACCATCAACATCATCAGCATCATTAACACCATCATCAGTATCAATAGCATCATCATCAGTATCATCATCATCATCATCATCATCATCATCATCATCATCTTCATCATCAGTATCGTCATCATCATATGCATCAACATTACCATCCGCATCATCATCACCATCACCACCACCACCGCCATCATCATCAACATCATCACCATCATTATCATTGCCAGCGTCAACGGCAACAACAAACTTATCACGAGCATACCCATGATAATCATCAGACAAATCATCGTTTTCGTTACCGGCGTCGGCATCAACATCATCATCAACAACATAACGGTCACAACAGTCATCATATTCAACATCAAACTAGCAATCATTACCATCACCTTCAGATTCATCATGATCGCCATCACCACCACCATGACCACAGTCATCATTACCAGCACCACCATCACACTCATTACAATACGTACCTCTATCCACACCATCGTCCTCACACTCACGATCCTTATCACTACCATGATCGCCGGTGACACCGTCCTCATCATCATGACCACCACCGCCATCACGATATCCGAAACCATCACGTTCGATTATCATCGCCACCACCACTACCCTCATCAACAGCACACACCACCACCGTCACCATTACCCGCCATGATCATCACCAACAAAATCATAATCATAATCATCAACATCACAATCATCATAACCATCACCACCATCGTCACCATCATCAGAAACAGCTTCATCGTTGCCATCACCATCAGCATCACCGTTCGAATCATAAGTATGATCATCATACTCATCATGATCACTATCGGCATCACCATCGTCACCAGCATCATCATCCTTATCATCCTCATCATCGTCATTCTCGTCATCAACATCATCACTCCCCTTCCCTAGTCCTCCTCCTTCCCTCCGCCTCCTCCTCCTGCTTCTCCTCCTCCAGCCTCCGCCGCCTCCTCGTCCTCCTCGTCCATCTCCTCCCCTCCTCCTCCTCCTCCTCCTCCGCCTCCGCCTCCGCCTACATCTCATCCTCCTCATCCTCCATCCCTCCTACTTATTAATAACTCCTGTGTGTCGCGCCCCGAGACGGGTTGGTAGAGCGGGCCAGCTGGGCGTTTCGCCGGATACTTCCTCACAGTGTATGACCCTGAAACTTGAAGTTGTATGAGCGTCACGGATGGAGGGCGGGTCGTTTTCAAAATGTGGCTCGCCTAGCACATTCGATTTAGAAACTTACAAACGTTCACAGATGGATAGCGGGTCGTTTTCAAAATGTGGCTCTCGCCTGGGCGCCGCGTGCATTCGTGCTAAAAGTCCGCAAAGGCTTCACAGATGGAGGGCGGTTCTTTTTCAAAATGTGGCTCTTGCCTCAGCGACGCGCACATTATTCTTAACAGTTTACAGCAGTTTCGACGATTCTCCTGGTTGACGTCCCAGGAACTGTGTTTTGGCATGACTTAGGATTGTCAGGGCGCGACAGTCACGATGATTCGCGGTGTTGACGTCCCAAAAATGCTGTCCTGGCGCGATGTAGGATCGCCAGTTCGCAACAGCTACGTTGATTCTCCGCGTTGAATTCCCAGAAGTAGTGCTTTGGCACGATTGTAAATTTTCAGACGGTTGTCTTCCAACGGAGCCATTCCCACAGTGAAGATACCCTTCTTAGGGGCCTATGAGGAGGAAGCTTGAAACTTGGAGGGAGGGTTGATTGCAGCATCATTGATGGATCTTGGGTTTACACTGGTCCTCCTCCTCCTCCTCCTCCTCCTCCTCCTCCTCCTCCTCCTCCTCCTCCTCCTCCTCCCCCTCCCCCTCCTGGAAGCGGAGAAGGGTCTCGCGGTGGTGGATCGCCTCCTCCTCCTCCCGATCCCTGCCAGGGGCCTCTGATGCCGGTGGTCGATGTACAAGCTCTGCGACAAGCCGCGCAGCTCCGCCGCGGGGAGCTGCGAGCAGAGGACGCACACGTGGCCCCCGTCACGCTGCCTCACGTCCTTGGGGGAAGGGGGCGAGCAGAATGAGGCCGGGGAAAGCAGAAGGGTCTCGCAGGAGCCTGAAACCCTGCTAACCCATGAACAAGCCCATAACCCGTTCAAGACATCCCTCCGCCTTCCTCCTCCCTCGCTGGACCTCCGACGTCGTGACATGTTCACAACGTTGGTTCCAGGCGGTCTGTAGTTTTCCCGAATCAAATTTTCCGACGAGAGCCCGCTTAGAGCCTCCGCGAGCCTGAATTACGCTACGGAGGAACCCTACATACTTAGCTAAGTCTTATGTTTTCGCTTATGGAGACCGCGCTCAGGGACCACCCCTGTGTACCCCCTCAGGTGTCGACGAAGTCCCACGCCTGCTAGCCCTTTTGCGACACTGACCCGTTTTGAATCCGCGCTCAGGACCCCCCCCCTGCGTTCCCCCTCTGGTGTCGAGACAGGACCGCGCTGGATAGGCTTTGCGGTACTGGCGCACATGGAGACCTCGTTCAGGGACCATCCCCTGCGCACACCCTCTGGTGTCGAGAAACACATGCGCGTGCTAGGCTTTGCGATATTGGCACGCATCGCGCCCCAGACCCCTGCGCACGCCCTCTAATGTCGAGGAAGTGCTACGCCTGCTATGTTTTGCGAGCGATATTGGTGCGTCTAAGACCGCGCTCGGGGACCACTTTCTGCACACGCCCTTCGGTGTCGAGAAAGTGCCACGCCTGCTAGGCTTTGCGATATTGGCGCGTATAGAGGCCGCGCTTAGGAACCACCCCTTGCGCAAAGCTTCTGTCGTCGAGAAAATGCAACGCCTGCTAGGATTTTGCTGCGAGCGTGTCACGGGTAGAGGCCGCGCTGAGGAACCTTCCTCTGCGCACCGCCTGCGGTGTCGAGAAAGTGCCACGCCTGCCATGCCCTGCGAGCCTGCCACGCATGCCACGACCTGCGAATTCTATGGCTGCATCTCAAACTTAATATGTTATTTATGTGTCAGGTTTTGAGCGGCTGTACGTGTGTGTATCTGTATGACGTACGTGCATGTGTGTGCGCGGCTGTACCACGACGAACGAGAAAGAGGAGAGTGAGGTGTGTGTGTGTGTGTGTGTGTGTGTGTGTGTGTGTGTGTGAAACGCGGGTGCGACGCGGGTGGGAAGAAAACAAGATACCCCCGGAACATGTGGGGAATAATCAGCCACCTCCCATCGCGCTTTTCCCTTGGCAGCGAGAGGCGGTGTATGCTCGGGTGGAGAACTGGTTTGGCGAAAAGGCCCCATACAATCGTGAGTACCGCAAGGCAGGTCAGGCGTAGGAAGGGGGAGCTCCCTACGGGGCCACGAACGTGCGAGGGATGTGCGTGTGTGTGCCAAAATGGGGCGGTGCGGCCATGCGGCCGCTGGGGTTGGCGCCCTTAATGTGGCTCCCTAGTGTGAAGGTTGCGGCGCGATCGTGCGGTGCCGCCACGCGGGCGCTGCCACTTGGGCGTGGGATTCCGCATGAGGGCCTTAGGCGAAATCACCATATGGGGCCACGATACAAACTTGTGCGAGGCGTGCCGAAGCTCCCTATGGAGCCACGAAGCGCGTGAGGATTTTGCCGAAATGGGCACAGTGCCGCCATGCGAACGCAGCCACAGGGGCCGTCGGCGGAGCTCCATATGGCGCCACGAACATGCAATGTATTTGACGAAATCTGCACGGCGATGCCATGCGAACGCAGACACTGGGGCCTTTGGCAGAGTTCCCTCTGGGGCCACGGAACGTGCGAGGGGTGTACGGTCTGCCGAAACGGGCGCGGCGACGCCACGCGAACGCAACCATTGGGGCGTTGGGTGGTGTTGGACGCAACGAAGCGTGCGACATTGTTGCCGGAATGGGCACGGCGACGCCATGCGATCGCAGCCACTGGGGCTGGCGGCGGAGCTCCCTATGGGGCCACTTAGCGTGCCTGCTTTTGCCATGATGGGCGCGGGGACGCCATACGAACGCAGCCACTGGGGCCTGCGGCGGAGCTCCCTACGTTGATACGAAACGCGGGAGGGACGTGCCGAAATTTGCATGCGGAAGGCAGGGGCACGGATGGGGAGGAGGGACAAGGGATCGGACCGGACCAGCTGTCCACGGAAGTGCCCGCACGCGAGCAGCTGCCAGGGGGGGGGGCGGGCCCGATGAGAGCCACAGCCCGATGAGAGCCGCAGCCACAGCCGATGAGAGCCCGGGGACGTGAACCCAGAGAGAAGAGGTAAAAGCAGAAAGAAACGAGAGAGTCCATAGATTTCGATCTGACTGAACGCGCCTCCAACCCATGAAGCCGCAGCGCAAGTCGCGAACATAACCGACGTAGGGAATGCGGCGGCGAGCGCGGGTGGATAGAAATGGCGAGGCAAGCGATGAGCTGGAGAGTAACAGACTTAGCCATCCGAGGGCTCCTCGGCGCCGTCGAAGACGGCATGACATATGAAGGTATTCCTCCACCAACGCTGAAAATGCTAAGAACCTCAATCCGCCCCCGATTACAAGTTGCGAGCTGCAGCCGAAGACCATCACTGCAAGTCTGCCTGCACTCGGGCATTCGCAAAAGGAGGAGGTGGCGGATTACTGGAGGCAAGGGGGAAGTGTAGGATTGAAGGCTGACGAAACAACAAAATCGCGAGCAGCCTGAGAGCCGGAATCAGCAACATAATGGATGCTGTCTGACTCGTCCAACTCAGAAGACAGAAACCGAGGCTTGGGGGTCTACCATTTTGGAAATGCTGGCAAGGGCGGACGGCCTAAGTACAGCGCACACTTGTGCCAAGTGCAGAGTCTTGACCCATGGCTGGGGCCTCTGAACATATGGCCACTGGAGGGAGGGCTGAGGAGCGAGGTCATAAGAAGGGCGATCTGGAACTCTTGGCAAATGCTGCCGGCCTGGAACAAGTACTTGGGTCTAGACAAGCACAGATACAATGCTGGGAGCCTCTGATCACACTCAAGCAAGCCGCCAAGCCGTGTCTGAGAGTACTTGCAAACATCGCATGCGATGAGATTGACACGGCTTGCCATGCATGCCATCTGTTCTCACTGCAAGACGGGAAAAGCCAACGAGACAAAGAGGACCTTCCCTCCAAACAAGACCTCCCAAAGCCGCGCTACATCCATAGTCATACGCCCAATTTCCAGCGTCGAGCTGGGGAAGAGTGACGGCGCGCAACGCATCAGCAGGAATTGCAATATTGAAGGTTTACATTGCAATCAGTGGTAACAACCCGTGTCGTTTCTGAAGACATGCCAAACGTTGCTTGGTGAGAGCTTCACGTGAGCGGTGCCACAGATGATAAGCCCACCTGTTCTGGCTTGTTTTCCATGCGCCCACTTGTTCCCGTGTCTGGAGGAAGCTGGGGCGCGCAACGATCGGGAGCGTGGCATATTCGCACGCACTAGCAAAAGACTGACTGGACAAGAGGGCTGTGCGAAACGCGTTGAGGCCGCCTTCCGATCCATCGGGGGTATCTCCTCCAGACGAGTGCGCGGAAGAAGCGCAGTTGGGGGAGCCCGACTGGGGCAGGCGAGGTTTGTGTACTTGCGCAAGGCCTAGCGAGCCGGGTGCGCAACCGCTTGCATGTTTAGAGTCAGGATGTGCACGATGATGGTGCTGTGCAGACTGGCTACCAAAATGTCCAACTGGTGGAGGCAACGGAATCGTGCCCGGCCACGCTCTCGGAGCTATCGGAAGTGTTGGCAGGACAGGAGCTATCGGAACTGCTGGCAGAAGACCAAAGGATGGCTGGGAAGAACCCCTGCCTCCCCGGGAGCGCCCTGACCAAGGTTTCGAGGCGAATCCAGCCGTGGCGACGACAGGCCAAAATCCTTTCCCTGCTCCCTGTGGCTGACGCCGACAAACACGCATAGTAGTGGGAACTCGCCCAGCACGTACAAGGGTGGGAGAATCAAGGATGATACTTTCCGAAGCACATTCGTCGCTTCGCCCATCCCGGCAACAGCGCGTGAGCCTTCTGGCGCTCTGGCACCCCCGCGGGGCTCTTATAGGGCCGTCCCCCTGGGACGTTTACAGTCGGACCTAGGCTAGAAGAACATCCTTCAAGAGCATGAGTTCCTCCGTCGGCCGAAACAAACAGAACATCCAAGGGTACCCTACCCAGGGTGCACAAGAACATCCCGCAAACACGACGCAGACGAGGGCATTCCCCGAACCGACCTCGGTCTTATACCTCGGTCCGACTTTACCAGCGCCTCGCCTCGCCCCGCAACGCCTCCCCTCTCCCTGCTCCTCCCGAGGGCCAAGGCGGCGGCCACCAAGATGCGCCACCCCACCGAGGGCGGGGGGGGGGGACGGCGGCCGCGGAGGCTCCTCCAGTCGGGTGTCGATCCACTGGGCGATCGCGCTCAGCGACTTCCCCGACACGAACGATGCCTGAGCGCACAGACAGAGAGCGAGAGCGAGAGAGAGAGAGAGAGGGAGAGAGCACACAAGACACAACAACAGACGGAGAGACGGAGAGAGAAAGAGGCAGACGGACAGAGAGAAGGACAGAGCGAAGGACAGAGAGAGAAGGGCGGGGCCGTCCGTACACGTCAGCGGCGCGTTGGCAAAGTAGTGAAACGATTACCACTCCAGGCAGCCACTGCTGTCAAACACTGAAGCGCCAGGCAGCACGACCAAAGAGAGGACTTGGCATCGACTGCAAGAACGAGGACGACAGGCGCCGCAGGACCACCTCGATGGCGAGGCCAGGCCGCTCTGAGCGCAGAGTGCCCTTTGCAGGACCTGCTGTGCACATCGCAGCTCCGAATCCTCGGCACATCCAGACCTCGAGAGTAGCGCTGCTCGCAGAGGGATTGTTTGGATTGCGACTCTGATGAGGCTCGCGACCTGTCAGAAGAGCACAGAGGGAAGGAGGGAGAAGAGATGGGGCGGCAGGAGAGGCGGAGTGTGGAGGAGGGCGGCGGGGTAGGCGTCGGCAGTTCAAAGAAGGGGCCCTGAGGCGGGCGGGATGGGGCTTGCAGGACGAGAATCTCGAATAGTGAATTTCAACTTGTGATCCGCGTCCTGTCCTGAGGGCCCCATCCCTCCAGGCTCCATCCTCGAACCGCCGCAGGAGGGGGCAGGATCGGCCAGCATCGACTCGGGAGATCGGGCCGCATCGGAAGGTACATCGAATCGGGCCGCATCGGCACGGGGTCGAACTCGAATCGGATCGGCCGCACCAAGATGCACACCGACACCAGGCGAGCATTGGGCCGTATCGGATTGTCGGAGCATCAGAATCGAACCGGACCGAGCCAGCCGAAATCGATCTCGAATCGGACCGATCGGACCGAAATAGACTCTGGGAGGGAGACGAAGGAGAATGAAGCCGAGGAGGGAATATGGCCCCGGCGAGCACAGCGAGGGGACGAGGAAGCGGTGGACGAAGAGGGGGGAAGGCAAGCTGGGTGCGCTCGCGTCATATCTGACGTCCTGCCCCCCCATCCCATCCCTTACCATGGCGCAGATATCCTCTCTAGTTATTCGAGCAGTCGCATGTCGAGCAGGACAATGATCTCGAGAGGGTACGCGATGCATGGTAGAGCACGGCATAGCATGGAATAGAGGAACACGGCATATCGTAGCATGTCAGAACATGGCGTGACATTGCGTGATGAATCATTATATCACAAAACATTGAAAACCAACGCATGGCATCGGAGAGCAACGCAGAACACAATGCCGCAGTGCATGACATGGCATGGCACTGGGCTCCAGGGAAGGTACGTGCATCGTCGGTGTGCGGTCTGGGCCTGCTAGAACTGCCCAATCACACGTGACGCGCGGGGGTCATCGGTGACCCTTCTGCGTCCCCCGTGGCTCTTGTACGAAGAACGGGTCGTTCGGGGTGTTCGTTTGGGAAGATATTTGGGTATGATCGTTGTATTGGTTTAATTGGCTTACGGCGAACCTTGTGGCAACTCTTTGGGGTGTGCCCATTTTGGCGGAACCGTTGAAACAAGTCGACTGCCAAATCTTAAGGGTGCTCATTTTGGAAGAGCCGGAAAAACGGAAATGAAGCTAAGAGAAAACAATATCGCCTTTATGGAAGGACCGGCAACATCTGGATTGGAAAACGCACAAGCAAAGACAGCTAGTGCACAGCATGTGTAGCAAAAAACATACGCCGAGTGGGATCGAAAGCGCCGGATTGTGCTAACCTGGGGAAGACCAGTGTGTGAAAAACAATACGGGGAGGGGGGCGGACAATTTATTCATCAGCTTCCGGGGGGAGCGGAGAGAAGTACTCATGCTGTGTCATTGTAGACGGGTGGAGGGGCTGGTTGTCGACCTCGTCGTCCTCATCTTCTTTCTTCTTCTCTTCCTCCTCCCTCTCCTCTCTGCACTTGTTTACGGGAACTTCAACGCTGCACGACACAACAATGCTGGAACGACAGTCCACGCTGCGCCGTTCTGTTTTCACTGCCGTCTCGAGAATCGTGGGCTCGTCTCGGGACCTCCGACGCCATTCTTTCACTACGTGAACGCGCCGAAAATTCGTCAACTTCCCCAAGGCCGCTTTCTCATGCCGGGCCGTTTTTCGGCGGCCAGGGGGTCTGGCAAGGTCCCGCGGAGGCCGAACATGAGCGAAAGCCTTCTGTCTTGTCTTTGGTCCTTTCGCAGCGAGAGTTCCTCGACTTGCTCGGCTCCTGACCAACTCCCTCCCCGCACGGCCCCCCCGCCTTTCAAGGATCTAGTCCCGCACCGCGAAAGAAAGACCCAGACCCCCGACGTCATGACTTCACAATTTCTACACAACGCGGCCTCAAGGTGTCTCCCCAGGCTCAGGATGGAAGGCTGGGCCTGGGAGGGGGGTCTGGCCCTCCAGGGGTCCACGTTGTGAAAAGTCCAACCAGACCCCTTCCCTGGGATCAACATTTCATTCAGAGTCGTTTTTGAAGGCACCAGAGCCGACTAAAGGCCCCAAGGGCAAAACGGAAAGGCACAACTTCCCTTTCCGAGTCGCGAGGGTAGGTCAAGGGTGTAAGAAGTCTGGCCCTGGGCCGCTCCTGGGGTACGTTCTGGAGGCGACCCCAGCCGTGGCGTCGAGACGCTACAAAGGGGCCGCAAACGAGACTGGATCTTCAAGCCCTGGAAACCCAACAACAAAAACAACTTGATCCGCGAAGTATGGTAAGGCGGAATATAAACGAGCATGGACCGACCGTTCTTGTAGTCTTGTCGGTTTCCTACGACATGTACTTGGAACAATCAATGGTCATAAGAGCAATATCGATATTCGAATAACATAAGACCGATGCCATGATGTTATACTGTCTCTGCCAGAAAAGCTCGAACAACACGTAATTCAAACCACCAGCGGCCGTTCGGGACGATCCTGGCATCCCCAGAACGCTCTCGGCGAGGTGCAGCTGCTTGAAGCCGTGCGGAGGCTGGTAGAGCCTCCGTGGACCTACGAAAGCGTCCGAATACATCGAGGACCTCGAATTTCTTTCCTGAGACTGGACACCCTAACTTATCGAACGTCCCCATGGCTAAGTGGTAGAAAGGCCCTTTGGCTAAGTGGTCGAACGGCCCCGTGGCCAAATGGTAGAAAGGCCCCCTGGCTAAGTGATAGAACGGCTACGTCTGGCGGGCGATCAATTGAAAAAGGTTGAAGGGTTCAAAGGCAAGTAGAGTAGAACTGACCCTCTGCATGGTAGAACAGGGCATGCTGACTGAGATCGGATCCGTCACTGCTTGATAGCAGAGCTTCCGCGCGCACAAACGACAGGTCGTCCCTGTGGACACACAAGCCCCCATCGTCGATGAATGGGCGATTGGCGACTGGGGGTCGACGCGCCCCCCCCTGCGCCCATCCTGGGCAGACCAAACCATGCCGATACACCTACTCCCCATACCTCTCCCGCGGTGCGCTCTGCCTACAAACTCGAAGCGGAATTTGCATGCAATGCGCGCCGCCAGCTGCGAGCGTCTAGATTGCCACAACTTGCCGTGTGCAGTTTCCCCGCCTCCCCTCAGCATCAACATTCTCTTCCTCCTCCTCCTCCTCGTCACCATTTTTCTGCTATCCCCCCTCCTGCTCATCGCGATTCTCTTCCTCGCCCTCCTGCCTCGCACTCGCCTCGCGACATCTGCGACCAGAAGGCCAACGACCTGGCCAAAACCGGGCTCAAACCGGGCTAGAACTGGGCCAACACCTGGCTACTTATCCAGGCTAAATCCGGGCCGCATCTGGACTTGACTGGGGCGAAAGTGCCGCGGACAAATCTCCGCCGCATCCAGGTCGCGCGAATTCGTAAACCCCTTCGACGGTTCCCTATCTCCGCCGTTTCCGCCGTCCTCGCCGCCGTCGTCGCCGCCGGGGGCCGCCGAAGGCCGCCGCCGAAGGCCGCCATCGCAGCAGAAGGCTAGCAGAAGGCCTCCGCGCGCACGAACGACAGGTCGTCCCTGTCGCCCCCGGCGCTCTGCGCAAGCTGCTCGGCCAGGGCCTGCGGAAAGCTCCAAAAGTACACCACCACCAGCCCTGGCCAGGCCTATCGTGGGCCCTGGACTGCTGTGCAGGCGCTCCTCGCTAGGTCTGGAGGTCTATACGCCAGTCCAGGGCCCAGGACGGACCTAGCCAGGGCTGGTGGTGGTGTATAGCTGGCGTCCCTCCGAGGCCTGCTCGAGCGCCGGCCTCATCGTCTCGCCCTCGGCCGGGTCGATGCCGCCGAAGCACGCCCACGCCTCGGGAGGAGGACAAGGTTTACTGCTACCGCTGCCCTCCCTCGCTTTCGCCTTTTCGGGCCTCCTGGAAGGCCTTCGTCGCCACGGCTGGATTCTCCTGCAGATTCTGGTCAAAACGCACCCTGGGAAGGGTCTTGGGAGTAGCATTATCGAAATCTTTGGTTCCTCCAGTGACGGCGAATGCGACGACGACATCAGTGATGATAACTCGGCATGAGGGAAAAGCGGGTCCTTAAAGGAAAGGGGTCTTGTAGGTCTTGTAAGCTCTTCGCCTTGTTCGGACTCTGGGGCCCGCCGCGGGTCCCCAGACCATCAACAAACAAACATTGGACGACGAAGTGGTCCTGTGGAGCGCCCCGAGATCTAGGACATGGGCCCTCCGGATCCGTTTTTTGTCCATGACGAGACAACGACGACAACGGCGGCGGCGGGACAACAACAACGACGACTGGCTCCTGAGCTCCCCGTGGTCCTTCTTCCCCCTTCCACGAGGCTGGCGATGAGGGGGGCGAGTAGGAGGAGGAATGAGGACGAGGAGGACGCAGAAGTAGGAGGAGGGGGGATAGCACACGCGAACAAAAACTGTCTTTTAAGGAGCGAGCCCCGAGACTCCTGCTTACCCAAAGTCTGGAGCTCAAGATCTACCATGACTCCTCGGGCCGAACGGTCATACATCGTCCCTGGGCTCGTGGCTGAAATGCGGTTCTGCTATGCGGATTGTAGCTTTTCTTGTTCGTCGTCCTCGCCCGCGACCCGCCCGCGACCCATCCGGGCCCCCCTCCGCACCATCAGTCTGATCCGCAACTGCGGGGGCTGTGGCTATTGTTCCCCCTCTCCCTCAGCCTCCTCCTCCTCCTCCTCCTCCTCCTCCTCATCATCATCATCATCATCCCCATCCCTGTCCCCTCCTCCATCTCTACGTCTCTCAATCTCTTCTCATCCTCCTCCTCGGCGCTCGGCTCGTCGCTGATGGCATCCATGCCACTCCTCCTCATCCTCCTTCTCCTCCTCATCCTTCTCCTCCTCCTCCTCCTTCCCTCCTCCTCCTCCTCCTCCTCCTCCTCCTCCTCCTCCTCCTCTTTCTCACCTCAATCTCTACTCATATCCCCCTCCTACTTCTCCTCTTCCTCCTCCTCCTCCTCCACCGCATCATGATCATCATCACTAGTAGCATCATCCTCCTCATCGTCATCAGCATATCATGATCATGATGCTGATGACCAAAAACATAATCCACCTCATCTTCATCAGCATCATCAGCAGCAGCATCACCATCACCATCATAATCACCATCATCATCACCATCACCATCACCATCAACATCATCATAACCATCACCAGCATAAGCACCAGCACCATCACGAGCACCAGCACCACCATACTCATTATCATGTTCATCATGATTACCATCATCATCGTCATCATCATGATCATCGTGATCATCATGATCATCACGTTCATCATGATCATCATGATCATGATCATTACCACCACCATCACCATCACCATCACCATCGCCATCACCACCACCATCATCACCATCAGCATCACCATGGTCATCACCACAATCGCCATCATCAGAATCACCATCACTATCACCATCAACATATCATCATCACCATCACCATCATCATATTAATCATCATATGTATCACCATCATCACCATCACCATCACCATCACCATCACCATCATCATCATCATCACCACCATCACCATCATAATCATCAACATCACCATCATAATCATCATCCATATCATCATCATCGTCGTCATCATCATCATCATCACAACCATCATCATCATCATCATCATCATCATCATCATCATCATCATCATCATCATCATCATCATCATCATCATCATCATCATCATCATCATCCGCCCCCTCCTCCTCCTCATCCCCCTCATTCCTTACTCCTCCTCCCCCCTCCCTCCCTCATCCCGCCACCCCTCCCTCCCTCCTGATCCTCCTCCTCTTCCTCCTCTCGTCCTGCATCCCGCCTCTTCCATCCCGCTTTCCCTCCCTCCTCCTGCTCGTCCTCGCGATCCCGCAGTTGCCGGCCGCACCTCTGCGAGGATGGGCGAGAAGATGCCGCAGAACGCGCGCGACGGCCTCGCGGCGTCGAAGCAGAGGTGCACGTAGACGTTCCTGGCCGACGCCCGTCGCCGTCGCCGGCCGTCGTCCCCCGACGGCGACAGCGGCGCGGCGACGGCGAGAGCCCGCTGAACGTGCGAGTGGCTCAGGCGGCCTGCGGGGGCCGCGGGGGGAGGGCGGGGGGACGGGGAGGCGGATCCGAGCGCGGCGCGAGCTTGCGCTGCGGGGACCCTCGTGCGACGACGCCAAAAGTTCGGGTCACAACTCGGGTCCCCGGCGGCCGCTCGGGACGATTCGGGCGCCCCCAGAGCGCTCTCGGAGAGGCGCCGCTACTGGAAAACACTCCGAGGTTGGACGAAACGCTCTTGGAAAACGTCCCAAGACCTCCCCTATGAAGTGCGCATTTTGGAAGTGGTGATATACATGGCGGCGACGGTAACATCATAGATAGTAGAGGGAAACGTACTTCTCAACCAACCACTTCAAACATTGCATGATATATCGCTTGCGCACTTGAACCGCGATGGCGGCGGCGGCGGGCGCGCGTGGGTCCTATTCGGGACGGCTATGCTGGGCAATGGAACGTGTTCCTCCGAATCGTTTGGGTCACGGAAGAGCACGCGGAGAGAGGGCTGTGAAGCAATTGCTGCGCCGCGTGGCCAGTCGCGTCTAGCCGCCAGCTGCCTCGTGCACATCACCCATGACTCAGTAGCCTCGACCCGAACGGTTTAGTGGTGAACCCTGGAGAGCAGCGCGTGCTCGTCCATGACCAGCGTATGCGTGTGATGCGGTGCCTGTGGCCAGGGAGCCTCGATGGTAACGGCACCCCTGACAAGGAGATCTCCGAGACGAACTCATCGCACTTGCTCCGTGCTCACTGGCCATTCGCGTGTAGCAGCCATAATCACGGCACTGCTCGCGGAGGCCCGACGGAGATCGTGCCTCGTGTGCGCTCATGCCGCGGCACCGACCGCGCCTTCCAGCCAGGTTCGCGCCCTGGCTCTGCATACTGCGCTCTGTCAGCATAGCTGTTCGCCGTCGGCACTCTTTGGCGGGCAGGTGCCAGCGGGCGTAGCTGGCCGTTGTGGCGCTTATGTTGCTGCGCGGCTGGAGGGCGCCCGCGCGTCTTGTTTCGCGGGTGCGCAGTTGCGGTTCACCCAGCTATATGAGGCAAAATATCTCTAGGTGCTGGTGTTTGCCAATTACGGCTGTTGACTGGTCGTCGTGTCAGTCTGGTGAGTGCCGAGCGGCACCAGTTCGGCGCGTGCTGACTGGATGCAGCCAGCAGCGGCGCAGAGTCGTAGGCGCCTGCATCGGCTGCTCAGAACTAACCTAGTACTTACTGCATGTCTTCGAAGAACATGGGTTCGGCAGCAAAATATCGCATCCGGCCCCGCAATGCCGTCTGCCGGCGGCACAGCGTGGCCAAACGGCTAGGCCACCGCGATGCAGGCCGACTGTTTTGCGAAGGCGTGGGCGGTAGGGCAGCACTGGCCTCTTGTGGCGAGCTGTCGCGCCGGCTCTTCGTTGCGCAGGCGGTGCTGAAGTGCCAGCGCCGGACGCCTGCACGCTGCTACCGCCAGAGGATGGCGGTCCGTCAGGTGCTCGTCAACTGTGAGCGGTACCAGCTGCCTCGCGACGATGACGATAATGCTGCTGTCCACGTTGCGCCAGCATGCTACAAGACGAAGACGTCCTCGAAATTGACGGGGCTGGCCGGCCAGTGGTGGCAGTGACCGGCTTGTCGACGGCGATCGTGTCGAACGCAATTTGCGGCGCGAGCGTGGTCAGGTCGCGATCGCCCTCGAGAACCAATTTACTGGACTTCAGTGGTCGCCTGCTCCAGCGTGCAACAGTGATGATGTCAGGCGGGAAGTCTGAGCCCAAGGCTGAGGGCGACAGGTGACTAGCAGCTTGGGCGTGTTACGTCAGGATTCGGCTGGGCGGCAAATCGTTGCTGAACGCGTCGAGCCGCAGTGCCGCCAGGACAGGCAGGCTCGCGCGGGGCGGCGTCACCTGGCACTTCGCCTCGCGTGGCTCTTGGAGGCAGGTGTCCTGGAAGTGCAGCGTCCGCGCTCGCGCTTGGAGCACGGTGCAGAGCTCTCCCAATAGGATCTGCACGCTGTGCGCGCGGGACCCGTGGGTGATCTGCGTGTCGTTCGCGACCTCCTGGATGTCCGTGCACATGCTCGTTCTCGGCCGTCTTGGTAGCACTTGCGCCAGTGCAGTTCTTGATGGCAATTTGCCGTGGCGGTGAAGTCCACGAGGTCCTCGCACATGGCATCCTTCATCTGCCTTTGGATCCGAAGGGTCGACCCACTACGTCTGGCCACTTCTACCGAAGGAAACCTGGGATATGGCGCCGTCGTGGCGCAGACCGTCGACATAACCAAATCAACGCTGATTGCGCGGTCCCCAGCTGAAGGCGACAACATGTGCGAGGCCATGTGAGCATTTCACATTGTGCAGGTCCTGATCTGGCACGTGCTGCCCGTTGCCGTTTGTAGCTTGCACGTGGCGGGTAAGAAGTCACTCGCGCACAGCTGGGGGCGTTCGTGCTGGAAATCCGCCGCGCCTGCCCCCGGAAGGCCCCGGTCGACGGCGGTCCTGGCGGCAGCCAGTCGCAGCCTTCAGCTCGAGGTCCACGCCGAACTTCGCGATGCGGTGACCGCTCAGAATCACCAACTTGCCACTGGTAGTCACTAGGGTGCAATCGAATGACTCGTGACCCGGCTAGACGTCTCGGGGCTGAGCTTGCCGCAACCCGTGCGCGGGGCGCGCGAGACGATCTCGGCGTCGCTATAGCCGAACAACACCCCGCGAGTGGAGGCGAGCATGTTGCGGAACATCACCTGGTTGCTGATGGAGCGGCGCCGCTGGGCGTCCATGTGGCGCGCGCGCTGGCCCCCGCAGCGGGGGGCCCTGTCCTCTCTGCCTCGGAGATGGCGCACTCGAGCAGGCGCGGCGGCGGGCGCAGCTCCAGTGGCTGCGGGGCGCCGCAGCAGAACTGGAAGAAGCGGATGCCCACGGCTCTCAGCAGAGCGATGCTCATGTCCATGAGGCTGAGCTCGCCGGCCGTAATACTGTACTTGGTCGAGATGTCCTGGCTGCGCGGCAGGCCCACTTCCCTGTGGAACAGCGCAGCGGTCAAGATGCACACCTCTGCGACGTTGGCGCGAAAGCCGGCGCCTGCCCAATCGAGACAGGCATAAAATCCATACTATCCGATGATGCCGCCCGGGCCGTGGCGCATGCGCAGGTTGCCGCCTGCCCGCGGGGGCGGCGAGCGCAGCCGGTTGCCGACGCGTCCGCGCCCGCGGCGAGTCAACGCAGCATGGTGTCCGTCTGTATTTGCAGAGAGCCTCGGGGCTCGGGCCCTGGCAGCCGTTCGGAGCAATTCCGGAGCCCCGAAACTCCCGAGACCAGTCCGTGCTCGCGATGGCTTACCCTTTGGTGTATGCGAGTAGCTCCGAGGCCGAAGTCGCAATCACAAGTTGTGGGCAACTGCTCAAGCTGGGCTGATATACCGCCAGACACAGTCTAACGCACAACGATGGGGTGCGCGATTGCGATGGGGGCAGCATAGAAACAAAAAGGATAACAATCATAACAATTCACGTCCAAACCGCTTCCGCGTCGTCATGCGACCATGCATGTCACTCCACGTGGCGTCGAGACTGCCGATTGGGCCTGAGATGGCGACCGTCCGTGCACTGGCGGTTGCCGCGGACTGGTTTAACGCGCGCGGCGACCAGCGCGCCGGTGGCGCCTCGCGCGCAGGCTCGCGCTGGCAGCTTGGCAGCACGCGCGCGCGGCGTGACGCGTCGGAGCGCGCGAGAGCCATGGTCGCACGGTTGCCAGGATGACGGTGCCAAATTGCGGCGGATGGCTGGTCGCAGCCACACTCAGTGAAGTTCAGGCTCGCAGATGCCAATTGCTGCCGTGCGTCGCCGTTGCGCGGAGACGTAGGAGGCGTGGCGTGGCCCCTTTATGCGCGGGGCCATTCGCGTGGCAGCGCGCGCCCCCGGCCCGGCAGACCAGGGCTCGCGAGTCTAGAGAGCAAAGCGGACGGGGTGCACACTTTCGACTTTAAACTTCTTGTCGCTCAGGCCGTTCCGCCAGCCCGCTGCGATTTCATTTTTTGTCGCTCATGGTCTTGCGAAGGTATTTCTGAATGTGCCGGTGACTAATTCTGCTAAGCGTCTTGGTTTCCGCGTGCATGCGTAGCGCTCGTGTAGACGCGTGAAGACGCGCGCTTGATCTCTTGGGCTAAGAACTGCCGTGCACGCAAGGTGCGCTGGCCTAGGTCAGGGAGTCTGCGCCGGCACTTGCCAGCGAGCTCGGCGCACTCGAGCGGGCGAAGTTTGGCGGGGCCTACAAATGCATGGAAAATAAAATCGTGCCGGGCACAGGCGTGCTACTACCGACCCGAGCCTGCGGCCAGATCCTGAAGGTGCTGGTCGCCGAGGGATGGCTGTCGCACCCGCTGCTGCGGGTGAGTTCGTGGTAACAGCGGACGCGGTCGTCGTTGACGTCGTTGCTGTAGTAGCGCTTGCGGTGGTGACCGACGTTGTCGTCGCTGTCGTACTTGCTATCGTAGAGGTTGCTGAAATCGAATTGCATGGGCCGTGCGCGGGCGCGCGGTGGCTTTTGGGGCACGTCTGGCCGCTGGATGCAGCAGTGCGTAGACAGTGCACTGGCGTGACCAGAGATGGTGGGCCGCCGCGGTAGCGCACGTTGGCGGCCCTGCCTGGGCGCCAACGCACTTTGGGAGGCAGTTCGCCCGCGCTGGCAATCCAGCGCGGCGCGCGCGCGCGTTTGGGCGCCGCGGTGTCGCGGCGCGCGCGCGGCACGCGGCGACGCCTTGCGCGGCCGCGTCGCGGCGGCGCGGCCCGTGCGGCCTTGTAGCTTGTCGCGGCGGCGTGGCGCGCCAGCGCGCGTCGCGGGGCGCGCGGCGCGGCCGCGCATTGGCATCGCGGCGCGCAAGCGCGCCGCAGCGCGGCGCCATGGCATCGCGGCGCGCAAGCGCGCACCGCAACCTGGCGCATTGGCACCGCGGCGCGCATGTGCGCGCGACGCAGCGCGACCCGCCTGAGAGCGCGAACCGCAACGCGGTGCACAGCCATCCTCTCCCAGGCCATGCTGCCTGGGCAGATGCGCCCGACAGGTTCTGGCACCTTGCGCTGCTGCGCCGGACAAGAGATCCCCCTGGTCAGCTCATCGCGTAGCCCACCGCTGAAGTGCTGCGCCGCGCGCGCGCGAGCGGCGATCGCGGCCAGCGGGCGCGCGGGGTTTTGATCTCGGGAGCGGCCGAGAGGGGGGCGTCCAAGAGGGGGGGGTGCAAATCATGACCGGCGGCGCGTGCGCGGCCCAGCGGGGGGGCCAGGGGCGCAGTGAAATCGAAAGAGGCGCCATGAAATATGGGGAAATATCATGGCCCCCGCCATGATATCCCCCCCCTAGTCATCGCCCCCCTCTTTTCCGCCCCCGATGTTCGAGTGCTGGAAGAGTGCGTCGATGGTGGCGGTCGGTCGCGCGCTTGGTAGTCGGCAGTTCTGCAGTCGCGATGATCAGAATGTTCCTAATGGTGGCGGGGCCGACGCATGGCGATTCCTCCGTGGTCTGAGCTCCCCCTGACCGGGCCGTCTGTTTCCCGCGCGACGGTGCACCCGCGGGGGCACTTGCGGTCTGGCGTCTGCCTCGTCGCGCCCGCGAGCGCGCCCGGCGGCTCCCCCGGCGAGGCGCAGTGCGGCCGCGAGCGCAGACAGTTCAGGGCGCGGAAGGTGACGTCGTTGAAGAGAGCGGCGCGGGGGGGGGGGGGGGGGGGGGGCGAATGCGCGTTCGCATCCACTTCGCACTCTGCGCAGATTCCGCGGTGCGGTGCTGGAGCTGGCTCGCGCCTGTCCCGCCGCCCGCCGGAAGTGCGGGCGCCGGCAGCGGCGGCGAGCACGGCGGCGACGGCGACGCATGAGATCGGAGGGGGAAGCGTGCCCATTCATCACCATCATGCGTAATCTGTCGCGCGCGCTTGAGCGGCGGCGGCGGCGGCGGCGGGGGCGCGCGGGCCCTATCCAAGCGAGGGGGGGCGGGGGGCGGCCGAGAAGGGGGGGGGGGGGATTCGCGTCAGCAACGCGACCGCGACCATCACGACTACGACACGCCAGAGACCCTACATGCCACAACCAGCCCACCTGATTGAACGCGCTAACCAGACGGCGGAACAACCGCCGACCGCGCTCAAAAGCAACGGCGCAACAGCGTCACTAAAGACGACCTCGCCCACATTCACCACTATCATCCGATGGTCACCTCCACGCCAATTCATACGGGTGCACCTGCCACCGCCCGCGCTCAACGCCCATCATTTACCCGCCAGAAGTGGGCATCAACGCCAAACAGAGGATGCAATACCTTCCCCGGCGACAACTGGCCCCGCAGGCGCAGCGACGCGGCGCGCCTACTTCCAGATGATCGCAGCGCAAGCAATCGCCACGCACCACGAAGCGGCGCGACGAAAAGATAGCCAGATCCAGATCTCCAACCGTCGCATCATCTTCCTCAACAAGGTTGGAGACCCTACGTTCCAGGAGCGCATCGCCAGGCTTCGCGCGCGGCAGGACCGCTGCGAGAAGTATCTCACTTGTTCGCGCGAGCGCTCGCCTGGGGCGCCATTCAGGGGGCCGCCGCCCAAGTGCATGGCAACGCTGCACGAGGCTACTGCCAAGCCCAAACCGACGACCACCAGCGCCGGTCAGTCTACGCAAGCGACATGACGACCCACCACAGACAGGACTGGGCAGTGCTACAATATACCGCGGCACTCACGACCAAAACCTCCTCCCGTCCAATTACCGCAAATGGACCTCATTTGGCCCGGTAGATCCAGGCACGCTCGCTCGTAGTCAGACCGTTAAGACAGACCGCCGACTTGCAATGCAGCTTTCCCCCCTCCACCTCGCGGCTCTTTCGACGCGATGGTGGCGCTCTCTCTCTCTCTCTCTCTCTCTCTCTCTCTCTCTCTCTCTTTCAGGTTTGGGGCTGTCCTGCAAAACCCTGGGTCGCAGCCCTAGCGTTGCACACTTATTTGATTTGAGGCCCCTGCCGTCTCACATCACTGTCCTGCTGCGCGCCTCCTTCTTCCCCTCGCGGTTAATCCAGCGCGATTGGCGGCGCCCCCTTGCAGGTCGAGGACTATCCTGCACAACCCTGGGTCGCAGCCCCAGGATTGCACATCCATGTTACATGCCATGTGCAGGCCGACGTCGAGGGGAACTCGAGGCGCTCCATCCACTCGCTTCGAGATTCTGCACACAAGTACCAACAAAAGTGCCATCGCATTTGAGTGCTCCGCCAGCCTCTGCTAAAGGCCAGCCGAACACAGCTACCCTGCACAACTATTGACCCTTTATCGCTCTCAGCGCTGCTGCTGCGCAAACCTTCTCTTGGCCGCATCGGCGTTGTACCTAATGCCCCCCTTCCTACAAGTGACGGCATTTGCGCAAAACTTGGCAGTCTACATACGCAGCCATCAACCTAGTCTCATCACTTGCTCTACGCAGGCATCAGCGTGCACGGGCAAACAGAAGCAGCCGATGCATCATCTCTTTCATGGTCTGTTCTGGTTATGTACTGCTTGCTGGCGTCAGTTGCTACAGGTTGCTTCCACCAAGTGTTCGAGGCTTTCGAAACTAGTGCGCCATGTTTTTAACTCTTGTGAGGTTAGGGTGGGAGACAGCGTACACCAGCCAGCCGCACTTCGTTACCAGCAAGCCTGTATCCACATGCTATGCCAGGTAACCTGCAGAGCTAGCATAATTGTTGCCTCGCACCGGCAAGCCTCACAGTGCATACCCAGCCTCACTCTCACATCTTCGACTATTGTTCCCGCGCCTCGTTGTGCACCTAAACTACGGACATTACTTATGGTGACGGTGGCCCCTCCACCTAGGAACCGAATAGCGGGCCTGCTGCTGGCAAAAAGAGCGGGCCTACTGCTGGCATGAGGGAATTTCCACTTTAACGTTCAAGCCTTAATGTCCCACAAGGCTCATACGTCTTTATATGTATGCCAATGCAACTCAGCGTGCACAAGCATTTTTCTCCTGTCCTAGACGCTCATTCATGTGAGCAATCTGTCCACATGGGCGGACGAGTTGCAGCGTGCGCACTCGACAAAATCAGAGTGTACTTGTTTCAGTTTCATGTCATTTCGTCACTATCTGCTTCGAACTAAATAATATGATGATACTATCACGGCCAGCGGTACAGGCCAAGTTGATTCCAGACAGGCCAGCTTGCGTTGGCCAGCCTGCGCATCACATAATAATGCAGCAGGACCGTGGCACACTCACCCTCCGATCGGTGTGCGCATAACTTAAGGAACAGCCTGTACATCCTCTGAATGTTCCTGGTGTGTTCTTGCTTTCGGGCGTTAAGTGCTACAGGCTGTTTCCACAAAGAGCTCTGGCCTCCACACGTGCCCTCTCTCCATGCACTCTAGCAATAAGTATAGTTTATGTTCGCTGCATGTTGCCAAGATGGCACCTGCTATGGAAGAGTGGGAGTTAGATGGTATGTGGACGGCAGTGCAGGAGGCTAGCACTGACATGCGACTTGGGGTCAACCAAAAGCCTGGGCAGCAACCCTAGAACTGCACAGTCAAAACTGCGCCACCGCACTCTGTCGTTCTTGCTTTTGCACCGTTCGCAGCGTGTACCTAATGAAAGTTGACCTTCGCTATGTGTTACTAGTTTTGTACTCGTTTGGGGCGTCATCACATGGTACAAGCTGCGTTACCTGGCGGGCGCCTGTTCTACCTGCCCTTTTACACTGTCTCTACTGACCGCCTTAGCCGCGGCGCCCGCCAGGTACCCTTCATGTCTTGCTGCAGTTCAAGAGCGCCACACGCGTAAGCGTAAGGTCTGGCCGACGCAAAAAGGAGGAGGGGGCGGAGGAGGAGGAGGAGGAGGAGGAGAGAAAGGGGGGGCCCTCCCTGGCAGGGGGCCCCGCGGGCGCCCTCCTCTGCGGCACCAGCCCTGCGAGGTAGCCCCCGTGGGGCACCCGCGTCGTGTCCTCCAGGCTGAGCCGCAGCAGGCCCCGCCCAAGGCCCGCCTCGGCCTGAGGTCCGGGCGCCGGCGGGCCGTCCCAATGCAGACGACGACGACGACGACGAAGACGGCGACGACGAAGACGACGACGACGAAGACGACGACGACGAAGACGACAACAACGACGACGGCAACACGAAGCAACCCCACATCCACTGGGGGGGCACCGTCACTGGCCCAGAGCCGGGCGCAGAATCTGGCAGGCCCGTGGGGGGCGGAGGGTCAGGGTCAGGGATAGGAAGCAACTTCTGTGAGGTCTTCGAAGAACGGTGCAGGGCTGCTACCAAGCCAGATCAGGGGGCCACTGAGACGAATCACGCCCGATTACGGTCAGGATTAAGCCGAACTGCGCCAGACTAAGCCGACTTTTGTGGGAACGATATTGACTTGGGCCCGTATTCGACCCACCATGGATACATCAGCATCGATGCTGCGTTTAAGCTTCCACGACTTGCACCTTCTTTATAACAAGGTCAGGCAGGGGAGGCAGGGGAGGGCGGAAGTGAACATCATTTAACCGATCCAGCTCCCCCTGGCCTCCCTCCTAACTCTCATTCCCACCGTCCTCCCTCAGCTGAGACCTCGACGAGCCCTGGGACCACGCGTCCCAAATGCTTCGGGACGAAAAGCCAATCCTACGTTGTCGGAATTCCGAAAACACGTGTGTCTGGGATCGCCCCTCCCTCCCCCGCTGCCCACCGCGAGACGTTTTTTTTGACAGAATTCCGACGCGCCGTGCCGTGCCATGCTTGATATATGGGCTCGCAGATCTGTCGCAGTCTAAGTGGTCGGCACCAACAAGTACATACAGACATAGACCCACATACAGACATACATACGCACGTACATACAATCGAACATGCCGACATACATACGTCAAGTTCGTGTCGTGCCGACTTCGGCGTTGGTTTCTGACACCGCGGGGATCGTTCAACCTTGAACGATCGGCCATTTCCGAAACGTCCAAATCGTTCCACATCGAACGATTCTGGGTCGCCCGCGACGTCCAACGTTGAACGCCGCTGGCGGGTTCGCCGCCCGTCGACACGACACGAACCTACCGTACGTGCATGTACATACCTACATGTATACGTGCACGTATACATGCATATCTGTATGCTTCCGGACACAAAGAGCACTGGGCAGTGGTTGCAACCGCTGCAACGCTCGAGCTGCTTAAAGCTGCAATGACTGCAACGGCTGCAACAGATTTGTGCAGTGGCTACAACGCTAGAGCTGCACGCGACTTGGTTTCGTTGAACATTTACCCTTGACTTGGTTTCATGTTCAAAACGTCCCCGACGAACCTACATTGTGGTTGGCTGTTGTTCAAGCGCCTGTGTTGTTTGTTTCCAAGGCGCCTCAGCGCGTCTTGAAAATCATGACCGAGGATCTCTTGGGGGGACAGGCCTGCACGACGACGCTTCCTGGAACCTCTGCCAGCCGCTGCCGCTAAGCTGCCCAGCTCCCCGTGGCGGACAGGACAGGGAGAGCGGGGAACCTTTTGTCCCGCGGGGACTCCAGCTGCAGCATCTGGCCTGGCGGAAGGCAGGCTCAGGAAGGAGGGCGTCAGCAGGTGCAGCGGAACGCTGCTGGCGCCAAGCCGAGGGGAGCGAGGGGAAGAGGGCGGGGCGATGGCGGCCACGCGGCCACGTCAGCGTGGAGGGGTCGACAGGTCCTCCACGGCCCCGGGTGGCGCGGCGCCTGCCAGCGGCCAGGCTCGTGCCGCACCGAGCCGGCGTCTCTTCCTGCGAGGGGAAGGGGGCGAAGGGGCCGGGCGCTGCCACTGGGCCAGCCCAGGCCTCCTCTCGTTGGGAGACCGCCGGAAGGGTTTTTGCCCATGTTCAGCCTCTGGGGGCCCTCGCCGGGCTACGGGGCCATCGAAAAACGAGCCAGGACGAAGAAGCGGTCCCAGGGAGCAGGATCCAGGCCTCTGGGGACCCAGTTGTGGAAAAGTGCGACGTCGGAGATCTGGGGAAATGTCACGAGGTACCATCTGGGCGTCGTGGGGGCTGCTCCGGAAGCCCGGCAAAGGCTTCACCCTGGGCCCGGACCACTTCCGGCAACACCCCGAAAAGGTGGGGACGGGCGCAGGAAGGGCAAACACCTGTCCCCCGATGGCGGCACCCACGTGCCACATGCTCCCGGGCAGGGTGGGGCCCCCGGGCCCTCATCGGCGATGCCTGGGCAGTGGAGGGAGGGTCGTCGACTCTCCCGCGCCAATCCCTCCCCTCTGTTGGCACGACTGCTGTGGGTCCTGAGGAAGACGGGCTCTGGATCCCAGGGCCAGCTTTCATCCCGAGTTGTTTTCGCTGTCGATCAGGGGGCCCACGGAGCGCGCAGTGAGACAAGAGACAGCGAAAAACATCACGACGATTTTACCTCAGGACCACTCTCCTTCGTTGCCTCTTTGGCCCCCCAGGTTCGGGTGCACGAAAGGAGTGACCCTAGGTATAAGTGACCTTTGGCGCTGGGCTGCGGCGAAAGAAGGGCCTGGGGGGGGCGGCGAAACCCGTTCGCGCATGCCGCTGCTGTTGCATGTCATTCAGCGAAGAGGTCGCTCTTGCCCAGTGGGCCCGCGCCAGAGGTCACTCTGTAGACAGGGCACCCTTACCCAGACCCCCGACGTCGTGATGCTTGCACAAAGTGGACCCTCGGAGGTCTGGACCACTTCCCCAAAACCGTCTTTCCACTCCGAATCGTTTTCGCTTGACCCCTGGGCCCGAAAAGGGCCCCAAAAGGCCGACAGATATCTCTCTCTCACACACGCACAGACACACACACACACAAACACACACACGCACACATGCACATATCGACACACACACACAACACACACACACACGCGCACGCACGCAAGCACGCACGCACGCACGCACGCACGCACGCACGCACGCACGCACGCACACACACACGCACACACACACATACACACACACACACGCACATATACACACACACACTCTCGTTAGCTTCGCGACTGGTTGGCCCAACGCAGCGAGGGCAACAGTAGGACGCGCTACGCCGATTACAACCGAGCGTGTGCCGATGGGGGGTTCACCGACAAGCGGGTGACGGATGCAGAAGAAAGATGCGGAAGGGCGTGCTCGTGAGCCAGTGGCATGCGAAGACCGCCCATAGGCTGTGCGCGTGAGAAACGTCGTACGCGGCCTGCTTGGGGGCGTGTGCGACGAGGGCACTCACGACGATGCCGCGACTGCGGCGGCGGTGTCCGCCAGGAAGGGCGGCGTAGCTGGGGGCCGAGCCAACAGGAAACGTGGTCTGGGCAGCAGAGACCTCCCAACTATGGCGGCTGCGCCAGCGCCAAGGTGAACGACCCACCAGTGTAACGGCAGCAAGAAACACACACACACAGGCACACAGACACACACACACACACACACACACACACACACACACACACACACACACACACACACACACACACACACACACACACACACACACACACACACTTTCCGACGTTTTAGTCGGAACGAGAGGAGGTATGAAGGTGTGTGCCTTTCGTGTATTGGGGTCTCCCTACTGGGGTAATTACGAGTAGATGGGGTCGGGGAGTCGCGCCGCATCGCGGATTCATCACAGATGAATCGGTGATGTATCGGTGATGTCTGCGATGCATCGGCGACGTCAGTGTCAGCGTGGCTCCACATCGAGCCGCATCGCCGATGCATTGGCGATGCAACACGATTCTCCGACCCCATCTGCTCGGGCCCCATTTGGGAGGCCTTTCGTGGTTCGTCGGCCCGCCCAGGGAGAAGTGAGAGGGGGCAGGCCTTCTCAGAAGGCGGCGGGCCTTATAATTGTCGGAAACCCTCGCGCCTCCTGAGAATCTTCCCGAGGCTCCCCCGAGGACGGAGACTGCTCCCCCGAAGGCGCGAGGGCTCCTGAGAAGCCCCGCCGCCTTCCGAGACGGCCTGCCCCCCTCTCGCTTCCCCCCCTCTCGGGAGGGGGGGATAGCAAAGGGGGAGGGGTGAGAATCAGCTCACGTAGCTGATTTTCCCGGCGCCTCCCGGCGACGGAGGCGGCCATGTATCGAGGAACGGGCCCCTCGGTGGGGCTGAAACCAGCTGCATGCAGTAGATTTCGTACCCCCCCTTTCCCTATCCCCCCCCTTTCGTTCGGCCCCACCATCGGGCCCGCCGCCGAGTCTTCGTCCCCCGGTCCTGCCGCCCTGGCTCCCTGGCGCGACGTTTTCGTCGCCGCGCCGCTCGGCGAGCGGCGGCCGCGGCGACTGCGAGCCGCCGGCCCCCCGCGAAGCCCGCGGCCTCCGCCAGACCGGCGGCGCCCGCGCCGGCGGCAGCAGCAGGGCGGGCGCGTCCGGGCTGGGGACGTCCTCTGGAGCGACGATCCAAGACGGGTCTTGCGGCAGTCTTGCGCGGGATGGCACAGCGATCTGACGCCGCCGCTTTGCGCGGGCCGCCAGCGCGGCGCGCCACACTGGGAGCGAGGGAGCCGCCGCGCGACCTTGCGCTCGGCTGCACGCAGGAGTGGCCCAGGGTAAGAGTGGCCTTTGGTGCGCGGCTTTTTGGGTGCCGCGGGGGGACCAAACACAAGCGCCCAAGACGGTGATACCGCATCGCGTTCGGCGATCTGTGGACCCCAGTGGGCCCGCACCAAAGATCACTCTGGCGAAGGGTCACTCTCACGTGAGTCGATAGATCCGAACGAGGATCAATTGGAAATCTGAGCCCTGGCGGTTCTGGAGGGTGTATCGGGCGCCGCGGCCTACTCAGAGCGTTCCAGAGCGCTCTGAGAGCGTTCGGGAACGCTCTGGAACGGATCTGTCCTTGTCCTAGCCCCGCCCGACCTGGGCCCTCACAGGTGCCCTCAGTTTCAGCTTGACGGGCGCTAAGACAGCCGCGTCGCAAACAACTCTCTAGTGCAATTCAGGCGTGTGGGTTACTGGGCGACCCTGAGGAGCTCAGGAAACGAAGGGAACCCTTGTTCTCACAAGAACCGGTCGATCGTGTTGACAATGTTGCATCAAGATGGGGTCTAGGGCCTTCTAGGGTTCCAGGCGTAATGTGTTGGCGATGTTGCAATGATGTTCGCAATGCCAGATCTCAGAGAAGGCCTGCTGCTTCCCAGAAGGCATCGGCATTCGTAGAAAAGAAAGCCCATGTTACGCCCGGGAGGCTTCCAATATTGGTAGAGGCCGAGCGGGCTTCTAACGAGCCACAGGTTTTCTTATCCTCAGAAGGCCGCCCCCTTCGCGCCAGCACCTCGCGAGCAATGCCAATGCCCCCTAAGCCAGGACACTGCTGACCAAGGCTTTGAAACCTCCACTCAGAGAGAACGAGTAACGGATACTGCTTCGACCTGCGGCTGCAGTTCCGTGGGCGCCCCAGTGTCCCTTTTTGCCAGAGAGTCCCCGTTGAAGGGGGCCCTGGGAATCCTCGCAGGGGCTGTCGCCAGACAGGGACATGCGACCCACGGGCGAGGAGGGCGAAGGCTCGGCCGGCGCCGCCCACGCCTGGGCTGGGACCGCGCTGTCACCGGAGAAAGACACGCGGCCGCAGGGCGAGGAGGGCGAGCGCTCGGCCAGCGCCACCCGCGCCTCGGCCCCACCCGCAGGCCCGCGGCACTGGCCGAGGGTCTCGGCGAGATGGCCCATCACGTGCCCGTGCTGGCGCAGCACGTCAGTCCACCCCAGCAGGGACGCCAGCGCGCGCACAGCCTCGCGGCCCTGCGCAGTGCGCTGCACGACGCTCGCCTCTGCCGCCCTCGCGGCCTCTGCCTCCTGCCGAGCGAAGCGCAGCTCCTCGGAGAGCCGCCCCTCGGTCCGCCGCGCGGCCTCCAGCTCCTGCCCCGCAGCCTCCGCCGCCTTCCTCACCTCCTCCTCGCTCGCGCGGAACGCGTCCGCCCTGCCCTGGCAGCTGGCGATGGCCTCCTCAAGGGCGCACAGCTCCTCGGTGAGCCTGCCGCGCTCCCTGCGCAGCGCGCCCGCCTGCTCCTCAAGGGCCTTCTGCTGCGCCAAGCCTCGCGACAGCGCGGCCCCCTCCCTGGCCAGCTCGGCCGCCAGGGCCTGCCGCCGGGCCAGCAGGCCCGAGCGCTCCGCCTCGCTGGCCGCCTCCTCAGTGGCGGCGTGCGTGCCGACGGGCCCCACCGACTCCGCGGCCGGCAACCACTCGCCGGCGACCCCGCCGGCTGTCGCCGTGGGCTCTTCCAGCGCGCGGCCGGCGGGCACGAGACCCGGCGCTGCCCCTGGGGGGAGTGCATCCGGCCGCTGGGGCACAGCACTGGCCTCGGCCTGTGCAAGGCAGCCCTCGTCCCCTCCAGAGTGCTCGACTCTGAACTGCATGCGCCAAGAGCCGCGCCTGGTGAGCCTGATTTCGTCGCGGTCGCTGAGCGACATGCTCTGCAGCTTGCCGAGCGTGTGCATCGCCTCACCTGCCGCGCCAATGCTGTTGCTGGCGTCCTTGATCACGTAGGTGCCGTTGCTGCTGGCGTCCTGCACCTCCCAGCCGCCCGCATCAGGCCTCGGCACAATGCAGCAGTGGACCCCGCTCACGTGAGGGCCTACCAACTGGAGATCGCAGCTCTCGCCCCGCCCGATTCTGGTAGGGCCGTCGCGCCTTAGCACGTACCGCTGCGCTATCTGCGCCGCCTGGCAGCCCGGCCCAGGCTGCACCAGCAGGACGGCAGGCGGCACCCACGACGCCTGGGGCGATGCGTGCGGTCGCGGCTGGCCCGTTGGCGCACCTGGCCGCAGTGTCGCTGTGGATTCGCTCGGCAGCATGACCACAGGCGGGTGTGGCCACATCGCTGCGGCGCCGCCCGTGCACAGGTGGCTCGAGCCCGAGGAGGTCCCAACCCCAGGCCACAAGCCCGCATCGGCCAGCGTTTGCTCACAGTCGTCCCCCAGGAATCCCCAGATGCATAAGAGTGGTCCCGAAGCCGAGTGTGAGCAGAGCCCAGGAGTCATGGGCTTCCGTCCTCGCGAGTCCTTCAAATCGTTTCCAGCCGCACTGGCGAGGGAACTCCCGGCAGCCACCTTGGGGTGCACGGGACGTTGCAAGAAGGGCATCGGAGGCAAGGGCGTGAAAGACCAGTCCTAGCAAGAACATCGTAGGCAGCCATCGCGAACCCCCCCCCGCCCTGGGAGGTCCCCACAGGCCTCTGCTCCCGAAGCCCCTCGAGATGGCCGCTGAAGGCCCTTGGAGATGGGGGCCGCGGGGGGGCTCCTGGAAGCTTCTGAAGGGGAGCCGCCGCTCGCCAAGAGGGCGGGGGATCGGGTTGCGAAGTCCCTCTGGGAGGGGGGGGGGGGCGTGGAGGCCACTGGAGTTCCTTGGGCGCTGCGCTGCCGGAGGGTCCTGTGGGTAGTAGCCCCTGGGGCCCCAGCAGAGAGGGAGCTCAGCAAGATCCCGGGCTGGCTCCCGGACGGCCCCAACGCGCACGGCGAGAGAATGCCCCAAGGGGGCTTCCCGGAGGCGCCAGGAGACCCCACGGGGGGGAGGACTCAGGAAGGGCCCCGAAGGAGATTCAAGGAAGGGACCAAAGAGCCCAAGAAGCTCCCGAGGCCCAAAGGAAGGCCCCCCGGGAGGGGACCCCCAGGGAGTGCCCCTCAAGGGGGGCGGGACCCAGGCAGTGCGCCACAGGGCGCACGCCGGTGGGCGGCCGCCCCGCTTTGCAACACCCACATGGCTCGCGTGGCGCCCCAGTCGTGAAGTCTGATGCGTGCTCGCGCCTGGTTTCTGTGGTCGAGGCCCGCGCGGACCAGCACACTTCGCCATTCCAGGGCCACACTGCCCATAGCGCTCACCTCCTTCATGACTCGGGCAGTCCTCGTCGCATTCGCTTCCTGCACCGTCTCGCTCGTTCGCCACCGAGGCCTTCCTCTCCCTAAGCCAGCACGCGCCACATGCTCAAAACGGTTCTGAGGCGCGCGTCGCATCACACATCACGTGACGCATGCACTGGAAGATGACAAAAGGCTTGCTTGACCGTGTGCACCAATCGTGAGTCATATACTCCAGTAGAAATGGCAGACTTGACCTTGAATTGCTTTCGACATCGATGCAACTTGATAGTGGCAACCAAGGCTGTTCCGCACGTGATCATGGATTGCACAAGGGCAGTTCCGCGCGCATCTTGGCTAGGGCTTCGAGTGCAAGGGCTCGCGCGCTCATGTTTCTTTCCAAGGGTATGTGCATCTGAACGAGGAGACAGAATCTGCTGTCCTGGTGGGTCAAACAGGCTGCGAGGCGGAGGTTCCCTTTCCGCACCCCCTCACTCATTACGAGGCAGTCACGCTTGCGAGTCCACATTCCCCTGTAAAGCACTACGCATTTGCGCTCTCGAAACCATGATCCTCCACAACATACATCGCTTTCGCATCGCGCTTCTGGAAGCCACAGTACCTATAAACTACCGCACTCCCGATGCCACAATCTCTCTTGTAGACTACTGCGCGCTCGCGCTCCCGCAGCCACATCCCCTCGTAAAGTCAGACTCGCGTTCCCGAGGCAATACTCCCTTGTAAATCACAGCGCGCTCGCGTTCCCGAGGCCGTGACCCTTTTTGTAAATTGCCACGCGAGGGCATTATTCCGAGTAAATTGCAAAGATTTCGCGCTCGCGATGCCATACTATTGTAAAGTACGACGCGCTCGGGATCCCGAAACACAAACTCCACTGTGAGTTGCGACTGTTTCGCGCTCCCGAGGCCATGTGCCCTCCCATATTACGATTGCTTCGCGCTCCCATGCCACACTCCCTTCCGCAAATGACCAAGTACACATTCGCACTCTCGAAACTGCAATCCCTCGTGCGTTACATCACGCTCGCGCTGCCGAAGTCACAACCTATTGTAACTTACGACGCGTTAGTGCTCCTGGGGTCATACACCTTTTTTGAATCATCATGTTTCGCGTTCCTGGGGCAACAGTGCCTTGTTAATTACTATTAGAACCATCGCGCACGCGCGCTTCGCGCGCGCTCAAGTGCTAGCTAGCTTGAAGGATTGCGCGCAGCGGAGGGAAGCAGAGAGGCCGTCTTGGGGCATCTTGGAGCCTCTTTGGGGCTTCTTGGGAGCCTCTTGCCTCTTGGGGCCTCTTGGGGGCCTCTTGGGGCCTCTTGGGGCCTCATGGGGGCCTCGTCGGGGCATCTTGGAGCGGAGAGCTTGATTTTTCAGTTCGCGTTCTCTCTCTTGGGCCCCTCTTCGGACCTTTTTGGGGACCCTCTGGCGCCGTCTTGGGCGGCACTCTGGGGCCGTCTCGGGGCTCTCTTGGGCCCGTCTTGGGGCCCTCTTGGGGCCCACTTAGGCCGTCTTGAACGGTTTTGGGAGCCTCTTGGGCGGTGCTTTAGCGCAGAAAACACGAAAAAACGAAAATGCCAGAACAATTGAAACAAAAACAAATTACGCTACCGAGGAACCCCACATACTTATATTATGGCTGGGGTGATGATAGCTGAAAAGAAGCATGTGAGAATGATGTTGGTGGCCGTTCCCTGCGCGCCCCCTCTGATGTCGAGAAAATGGCACGCCTGCTGCGCCGTGCGAGCCTGCAGCGGATAGAGACCGCACCCCACGCGCACCCCCCTTTGTTATCGAGAAAGTGCCGCGCCTGCCGCGCCCTGCACGCCTGACACGCATAGAGACCGCACCCCCTCTGGTGTCGAGAATTCCCACGCCTGCCATGCTCTGCGCACCTGCAGCGCATAGAGACCGCACCCCCTGCGCATCCTCCCGGTGTCGAGAAAATGCCGCGCCTGCCGTGCCCTGCGCGCCTGCAACGCATAGAGACCGCACCCCCTTGTTCACCCCCTCTGGTGTCGAGAATTCCCACGCCTGCCGCGCCCTGCGCGCCTGCAACGCATAGAGACCGCACCCCTCTGCGCACCCTCCTGGTGTCGAGCAAATGCCGCGCCTGCCGTGCCCTGCGCGCCTGCAACGCATAGAGACCGCACCCGATGTGCACCCCCTCTGGTGTCGAGAATCCCCACGCCTGCCGCGCCCTGCGCGCTTGCAGCGCATAGAGACCGCACCCCCTGCGCACCCTCCTGGTGTCGAGAAAATGCCGCGCCTGCCGTGTCCGCGCCTGCAACGCATAGAGACCGCACCCCCTGTGCACCCCTTTCTGGTGTCGAGAAAATGCGACGCCTGCCGTGCCCTGCGCGCCTGCAACGCACAGAGACCGCACCCGATGTGCACCCCCTCTGGTGTCGAGAATTCCGCACGCCTGCCGCGCCCTGCGCGCCTGCAACGCATAGAGACCGCACCCCCTGCGCACCCTCCTGGTGTAGAGAAAATGCCACGCCTGCCATGCCCTGCGCGCCTGCATAGAGAACCCCCTGCGCACCCTCCTGGTGTCGAGAAAATGCCGCGCCTGCCGTGCCCTGCGCGCCTGACGCGCGCCCCCTGTTCACCCCCTCTGGTGTCGAGAATTCCCACGCCTGCCGCGCCCTGCGCGCCTGCAGCGCATAGAGACCGCACCCCCTGCGCACCCTCCTGGTGTCGAGAAAATGCCGCGCCTGCCGCGCCCTGCGCGCCTGCAACGCATAGAGACCGCACCCCCTGTGCACCCCCTCTGGTGTCGAGAAAGTGCCACGCCTGCCGCGCCCTGCGCGCCTGCAACGCATAGAGACCGCACCCCCTGCGCACCCTCCTGGTGTCGAGAAAATGCCGCGCCTGCCGTGCCCTGCGCGCCTGCAACGCATAGAGACCGCCTGCTCTGGTGTCGAGCACGCCTGCCGCGCCCTGCGCGCCTGCAGCGCATACCGCACCCCCTGTGCACCCCCTCTGGTGTCGAGAATCCCCACGCCTGCCATGCCCTGCGCACCTGCAACGCATAGAGACCGCACCCCCTGCGCACCCTCCTGGCGTCGAGAAAATGCAGCGCTTGCCGTGCCCTGCGCGCCTGCAACGCACTGAGACCGCACCCCCTGTGCACCCCCTCTGGTGTCGAGAATTCCCACGCCTGCCGCGCCCTGCGCGCCTGCAACGCATAGAGACCGCACCCCCTGCGCGCCCTCCTGGCGTCGAAAAAATGCAGCGCCTGCCGCGCCCTGCGCGCCTGCAACGCATAGAGACCGCACCCCCTGTGCACCCCCTTTGGTGCCGAGAAAGTGCCGCGCCTGCCGCGCCCTGCGCGCCTGCAACGCATAGAGACCGCACCCCCTGCGCACCCTCCTGGTGTCGAGAAAGTGCCGCGCCTGCCGTGCCCTGCGCGCCTGCAACGCATAGAGACCGCACCCTCTGCGCACCTTCCTGGTGTCGAGAAAGTGCCGCGCCTGCCGTGCCCTGCGCGCCTGCAACGCATAGAGACCGCACCCCATGTGCACCCCCTCTGGCGTCGAGAATCCCCACGCCTGCCGTGCCCTGCGCGCCTGCAACGCATAGAGACCGCACCCTCTGCGCACCCTCCTGGTGTCGAGAGAGTGCCGTGCCTGCCGTGTTTTGATCAGACTTCTCTTCCAGCCGCGGGTGCAGCGCAGCAGGGAAGAGAAGGAGAGGGAGGAGGGAGGAGGAGGAGACGCGTGTGAGACGCGGAAGGGAAGAAAACCAGAACCCCACGAAGCATGTGGGGAATGAAAATCAACGATTTTGCCCTCTCGGGGTGCTCCTGGGCGGCATCGTAAAGGCCTTTTGGGGCGTCTTGTGGGCCTCCGGGGCAATTTAAAACGCATCGTGCGTCGCCAGAGACCCCTCGACGGCGTCTTGGGGGTGTCTCGAGACCGTCTGGGGCCGTCGGGATTGCTGTCTGAGGGCTCCCCGGGGCTTGCGACGCGTGCGCGCTCCCGCGGCCACAGTCACAATGCACGAGGTGCAGTCTGGTGTAATCTATCTTGTGCAACCAGTGTAACACAGTCTACGTGGTGAAATGAACGTCGTGCGGTCGATGGTCTCGCGAGTGCCCCCCTTATTTGGTATCGCAACTACTCAGCCAGCCAGCAACCAACACCAACTGCCAACCACCTACAGTCAAAACTTATGGCAAGGATGCGCGACAAGGATGCAAGGGCGTTGGACGTCCATGTCGAAGCTTCTCGAGCGGGGCTGGCCATCGAACGTGGTTGAGGATGGACCGACGATGACCGACGAGGCACGGATGCAGTGGTACCCTTGGGAAGTCGATCATCCTTAGTATTAATGTTGACTGTATTTCGACAGCAGGCCACCCTGCCGAGTTGCCAGCCAGCCAACCTACGGGCTAACGAACCAACCAACCGAACAGGCGTAGCCACGCAGGCAATCGTAGGGAGGGAGGGCCGGCGGCAGAGAGCGACGCCATTCAGCTAACTGGAAGTCTACAGATCCGGCCACTCCCGCCCTGCCGTGTTGGGCACAATGCTTGGCCTCAACTGCTCAATCAGTTCCTGGCGCTTCCCGCCCGTAGCCCGACCTGCGGCGCCGGACCACTTCCGCATTCTTGCGCCCGCTGAGCCTCGTTCGCCAGAGCCTGGTCAAAACCTTCGTGAGAGTCCCTCCGGGAGGCCCCACTCTGCCGGCGCTCCCCCGCGGGCCGCCCCTTGTGCAAAGGCCTCCGGCGGCCCCAGACGGCCCCGCGACGACCCAAGACGGCACCAAGACGAGCCAAGAGAGCCCTGAGAGAGCCCCCAGACAGCCCAAGAGGGCCCGAGATTGCCCAAAAGCGCCCCAAGACGGCCCACGATTGCCTCAAGACGGCATGAGGAGCGCCCAAGACGCCCCAGGAGAGCTCTAAGTTCCCCGCGGGGGCTCCAAGATGCGAAAATCTTATGGGTGGTTGACGGCTGTCGGCGCTATGTCGCTTCGAGAGCTCAACACTTCAAGACAGCCCAGGAGGGCTCCGAGATTTGCCCCAAGACAACCCCAGAGGCCCCCATGAGGGGTCAAGAGAGCCCAAAGAGGGCACCAAGAGAAGCCGAAGGGGGACCCAGTAGGCGAAATCGAAGGGGATTTCGGAGACTGTCCCCGAAATATTGCCGCTGAGACCCTCAACATTCCCCCAAGGGGCCCCCAAAGAAACCCCCAAGAGGCCTCCAAGAGGCCCCCGAGAGGCCTCCTCAGAGGCCCCCAAGACGCCCCAAGAGGCCCCTCCAGAAGCCTGCAAAGTCTCAACAGACCTCCAGAGGACTGAACTCCAAAGATCCCAAGCCTCCAAACAAACCTGCCCCCGTACCATACGCTTAATGCCCTCAAAAGACCCCCCAAGACAACCATCGACATGGATCCAGGACCCCCCGAGCATGAACCAATCGCCAGGCAACTCTTCGCCCACAGTGACACTCCTGGGGAGCGGCCGGTGATGCGCCGCTGGTGTCCTCGATAATAACAACAACCATCGATCTGGTGTGTAACTTTGAAAGAAGCTTAGTTGATGCGTCAGGTCTGCTGAAACTACATCCTGAGCTTTAGCTCTGCTGGGGGAACGTGCAGGGGTGGCTCTGCCAGGGTAGGGGGAGGGGGGGCAATAAATTCCCCAACCGCCACAAGATGTGCCAAATGGCGCAGGAGGCCAACAAGACGGTCCAACAGGCGCACGAGGCGGCCCAAGGGGCCTCCAAGACGCTTCAGAAGGGCCTCAAGAGGACCCCACAAAGGCCCCAAGAGGCCAACATCAGCAAACTCCCGTGGGTATGCGGTATGAGTTCAGCAAGATTAACCGTTCGATCTCCAGAGCGCCCAAGACGGTCCAAGAGCTCTCCAAGACTGGCCCTAGAAAGCCCAAGAGGCCCGAGAGCGCCCAAGAGGGTCCCAAGATGGCACAGGAGGCCGGGCCCCTGAGACGACCCCAAGACGGCCCCAAGAGGGGAACTCAAACTGACTCTTCGAGCCCATGGCCCCAAGATGACCCCCCAGGCCTTCAAGAGGCTCCCGAGGCGCCCCTGTGAGGCCCCAAGAAGTGTCTCAGAGGCCCCCAAGAAGCCCACAAGAGCCCCAAAGAGGCTTCCAAGATGTCCCCCACCAGGCCACTAAGAGACTCCAAGAGGCGCCACCTCAAGCGATGCCAAGCCAGATGTGCATGGTCTGACTTGTCATTTCTGGGGAGCGACATCGCTGAACTAAGACACCTCTTCGTTCCTCGCTACGCGGTGGGGGCCCTCAAGCACCAGGAGCACCCCAAATCTGCGTCACAGACTGGATGGCATTGAAATGTGATGCATGGAAAGACGGAAGCACCTCTGGCCCGTCAGCCACACTCCTGGCGGAAAGGACCGACACCCCGAGACCACTCCAGTCAAACTTTGGTCACCCGCCAAGGTAAAGACTGCGGTTAGCCTCGGCCCGCAGAAAGGGACAACGTCAGACTGAGGTAGGGACTCCGAGACAAAACGGCCATGGGCTAAAAACGGCTGTGACTTCTGTCTGGCCGCAGGCCAACTTCACAACAGGAATGCGAAACAATTAGACAGGTCAGTTTCCAACCACCCACCAGCCTAGAGAGGGCCTACGTAGAGTCACCGGGTATACTTTACAGGTGCCAAGAGAGGGGAAGGGAGCGGGGGGAAGAGAGAACGAGAGCCAGAGAGACCCAAGAGACTCCGCGCAGACCTCCGAAGGCTTGGGCTTATGCGGATTTGGCATATTGCTGATGCCCTCCGGGGCAGCCGCAACCCTGATCGGTCGGGTGGGGCACGTGGGCTCTCCCATCTCTGGAGACGGTGCTCGTGAATGTTGGTTGGTGGGAGCTGTTGGTCGCGGAGTGCGGCAAGAACTGGGGGCGGGAGAGGAGGCGTGGGCAGCAGGGGAGGAGGAGACGAGCGATGCCCCCCCCCCCGGCCTTCTCGGGGGCCACCAGCTTCACTGTGGCGCCGAGGCGGCAGCGCACGTCGAAGTCGAGGGGCTGTTCTGCCTGATGGCTTCCCTTCTTCCTCCTCCTCCTCCTCCTCCTCCTCCTCCTCCAACTTCCATCTCCCCCTTCTGGGAGGGGGTTACCCCTCCCTCTACCTCCTCTCCTGGGGCTGGAGGGGAGGGGCCGCGAGGTGTCAGAGGGTTGGTTTGTTGGTCCAAGATGGCTCCAGGAGGGCCTCAGAGAGCCGAAAATGGACTCCAAGGTGGCTCAAAATGGCTCAAGACAGCTCAAGATGGCTTTCAACTTGCTCCAAGAGGCCCCAACACCGCCCTAAGACGGCTCCAAGTGGCCACGGAGCCTCCCAAGGAAGCCACCAAGATGCCTAAATCCTTGCAAAACAAGATGAAGGAAATCCATGGTAGTTGCCTTCTCGCCTTTTCGCCTTCGATGGCCTTCCGAGGCCTCGAGATGGCCCCAAGGAGGCCCAAGAGAGCCCCAAGGGAAGCCCAAGAGGGCTGCAAGACGGCCCCAAGAGCGGCAGAAGAGCGCCCCAAGAGGGGTCCAAAAGGTGATTTCAAGGGCTTGGGCGACGCTACTGTGGTACCCCTCCTTTCTTTGATCGATGTCCTCCAAAATGGCTCCAAGATGACCCCCAAATCTCCCGAGAGTGCCCCAAGAGACGCCCAGGAGGCCCCCAAGGGGTCCTCAAAAGGCTCCCATGAGACCCCCCCCAGCCCCATAAAACTCTCCCGAGGCACCCAAGACTCTCCAAGAGGCCCCCTGGACGGCCAAGAGGCCCCAAAGACGCCCCAAAGGGACTCCAAGAAACAGCTCTTCAGAGACATCAGAAGTGACTCCGGGAGGCATCTGAGAGGCCTCTGGCCTATTCTGCTCGCCCTCCTCCTCCAAATCCTCATCCGCCTATTCCGCCTCCGACCTCATCCCTCCTCCCCCCCCCTCCCCCCTTCCCCTCCTCCTCCTCCTCGTCCTATTTCTCCTCCTCTTTCTCCAATTCCTCCTCCCTCCTCCCCCTCCTGGGGTATGACGGCTTGGTCCTCCACATCTCTGATCCTCCCAATCCCTGATGTTAGCCCTCCGCATCCCTCATGTTGGCAAATCGCCTGGGCATCGTTCCTGGATGGGCTGGTGGGGTCATGCGAAACGTCCAGAATTCCTGAGTGCGGCCCCCGTTTCTGGAGCCCGCGGGGAGCAACTGGAAAACCATCCCCTGAGTCCCGACGTAGCGACAAAAATGCAACATCGTAAAACATCAGGCCCTGAGCCCTAGACCCCTATCTTGGTGTATGATTTTCCAAGCCGGGTCGATCTGTGAGGGTCCCAGGGCCCGAAAACATGCGAAAACGCACAACTTCAAACAAATTGAGAGAGCGTAATCCACCGCCGATTTGCTATGGAAAATTCTCCTCCCTCTTCCTCCGGAACCAGAAGGTCCCCCCCCCCTTCCGAGAATCCCTCCCCATGCTGCTCGAACCCTCCCCCCCCCCCTCCCACCCACGGCAAAACCCCCACCCACCACTCAACACCCCCCCCCCTTCTCCAGACAACCGGGGCGGGTCACTACCGGTTCGAACCCGTCCCCTCGGAAAACCGAGGGGGTCACTATTGGTTCGAACCCACCCACTCCCCCCTACTCGCCGCCGGCAAACAACTTCCGGGTCCCCACCACTGTCCTCACCACCGCCCTCACCACTGTTCCCACCATCACCGTCCCCACCACTGTCCCTCTGTCCCAACTGTCTCCACCACTGTCCCCCTGTTCCCACCACTGTCCCCACTGTCCCCACCAGCGCGCCCACCACCGTCGCACTGTCCCCACTGTCCCCACCACTGTCCCCACCACGGTCCCACTCTCCCCACTGTCCCCACTGTCCCCACCACTGTCCCACTGTGATGTCCCGTTGTCCCCACCGTCCCCACCACTGTCCCACTGTCCCCACTGTCCCCACCAGTGTCCCCACTGTACCACTGTCTCATTGTCCCACCACCGTCCTCACCCCCCACCATTGTCCCCACCACCACCGTCTCCACCTCTGTCCCCACTGTCCCCACTGTCCCTACCACTGTCCCACTGTCCCCTCTGTTCCCACCACTCTCCCCACTGTCCCCACCAGTGCCTCCACCACTGTCGCACTGTCCCCACTGTCCCCGCCACTGTCCCCACCACGGTCGCACTGTCCCCACTGTCCCCTCTGTCCCCACCACTGTCCCAGTCCCCACTGTCGGGAGAGGGGGGTTGGAACCCTAGTGACCCCCCGCGGTTTTCGAGGGGGGGGGGCGGGTTGGAAACCACCAGTGACCCCCCGCGGTTTTCTGCCAGCAGCGGCAGAACACGTTCTTCCAAAAATTGAGACATCAGGATCTCAGGGCCATGATTCCTGGGCTCCTCTGAGCCCAGGGGCCTGCCCCTCGGGGGGTGGCGGCGTCCTCGTAGACAGAGTCGATGCGCGGCCAGCTCTCGTCCCTGTCGCCCAGGCTCCCCTCGTGCCGCTGCCTCTGGAACTCGTCCTGAGCGCTGCGCGCGCGTGCGCGCAGCCGCGAAGGCCCCATCCCCAAAAAATCCGTCGGCGAGGAGAGGCGAAGAAAGGTGAAGGGGCCCAGGGACACACACACAAATAAACACACACACAAATCCCAGGATTCACCATATGTCCTCCACATGTTCTACATGTTCGTTTCCAGATGTTCTTGGGAATCGACGATTATCAGAGTCTGTGTGTTTTCCCTCCTGCATGAGAGGTGAGGGGAGCGCCGCCAAGTAACTTCGCTCGTGCTGGTTACGCAGGCGCTGGTTCCGTCCGTCCCCAGAAGCGGCTTCTAAGGAATTCCCCTGGTCTCTGCGCCCAGAAATCCAAAGCGCACGGATGAAGCAACTGACCGCGGGGTTTAGGGTGTTGCCTTCTTCGAGGATCAGGGGAGGTACGTTGAAGCGCTACTCTACTCCCCATTTAGGGGGCAGCCCAATCGGGCTTCGCCGACGGCTGGTTTCATCCAGGCTGGTTTCGTCGGCGGTTGGTTTCGCCCGGGCTGGTTTCGCCAGCGGGTGGGTCGGGCGGGAGGGAGCCTAACGGGCGGGCCAGGTGGGCGGGACACTGAAGCGGGCGGGCGGTCTTGTGAGCACACGAACGGGCGAGACTGGAACAGGCAAGTCGGACGCGCTGGGCCCTACCTTGCGAAGCCCAAGGGGATTCAGAGCAGGTTCCAGTTAGAAGGCCCAGACCTCTGCGGCCCACGCTGCGCAAGGATCACGGCGTCGGAGCGTCTGCGAGGGGACTGGGATCGGGGGGGCGTAAGTAAGGCCCCCGATAGCGAATCGGCACCCTCCCGGGCGGGGCGGGGCTACTGGGCCCTCATCGGCGATGAGTGGACGACTTAGGGTCGATGCATCCCCCCTTGGGCCTATCCCCCTCTGTCGTTGCCCCTGCAACCCCACCCTTTGGGATAGCCCCCGCCCTACGAGGCGCCGATGGGGCCACGAGCGGCCGCAGCCCGTGGCCTCTAGAGAAGTGGGCGAAAGCCCCGAGGGCAGCTTCACGACACACAGGCTGGAGCTGGGAGGGCGAGGGAGAGCAGCCTCGACGAGAGCGAGGCTAAGACGAAGCCAGGACGAGGACAATTCTGGATGAAGAGATGGATTGAGAATCTCTGAGATCCGCGGCTATGGAGGGTGTCTCGGGCGCCGCGGCCTTCTGAGAGCGTTCAGTAGCGCTCTGAGAGCGTTACGGACCGCTCTGGAACGGATTGATTCTCTCGTCCTAGCCCCGTCCGGCCCTGGGGGGGCTCCCACAGCTCTAGCTTGGCAACACGCAAGAGCTTGGGAAAGGTCATAACGCACCCCCCTGGCGACGTACCCCCATTGAGGGTATCGCACTAGCCGCGGTTCCAGCGACGGCGGGCGCCAAAACGCAGCCGATGGGCGCCCTGAGGTGGGCCCTGAGGCCCCCTCTTTACAGCACGTCTGTTCTGGGGTACGTTTGGCCTCCTCTGACGAATGAACCCAAGCAAAAGTGGCCTTTGGTGCGCGGCTTGAGGGGGCCGCGGGGGCCCAATTCCAAGAGCGCAAGCCAGCACTGCGAGCCCGCACCAAAGAGCGAAGAGTGTCAGTCTTAGGAGTAGCGGCTCGGTCGCAGACAAGAAAACTGCTACCGCTCCTGGGACCTCTCCCAGGACCTTTGCGTTCTGGCCAAAGCTTCGGGGCGAATCTGGCCGTGGCACCCAGGGCCCACCCGGGAGGCACATGCAAGCGACGACGAAGGTGGGGTATCGGCATCAATGCCTCTGCCCTGAGAAATCGCGACGTCGTAGCTTCAACGCATGACCAGAGCTACCGTTCGTTCGGATCTTCCCTCAGGGCCCCGCTTGGCGGCGCCCTCCGTCTCTCCCTGGGAGGGAGGGGGTACATTTTGTTGCGCGCAGCCAAATGAGACTTGCCCGCACCCAGCCCAACGGTGAGGCGCGGAAGTGGCTGGCGCGGCAAAATGGGGCATAGGGTCCAAAAACGGCACCCAAGCAGCAAGCCTACGTTCATGTTCCCACCATCTTTTCCTCCTATACACCTCCTCCTTTTCCTCCTCCCCCTCCTCCCCCTCCTCCTCCTCCGCCGCCTTCTCCTCCTCCTCCTCCTCCGCCTCCTCTTCTCCTCCTCCTCCTCCTCCTCCTCCTCCTCCTCCTCCTCCGCCTCCTCCTCTACTCTCCAGACGTCGGTGGAACGCCTTGCTGTACACACATTCCGTCTCGTGCCCCGCAGGCCAGCATCACAGCGTCTCCAAGTCGACCGCGTCGAGGCGCTCGGCCAGGGCGCAACCCAGGATGCAAGAGACTGTGAACTCGTCCGCGAAGTGTCCGCCCAGGTACGCCATGTTGCCGTTCGGGACCCTCTTGACCTCGTACACCGCGCGGCCCTGAACCACGTGGAAGTTGTCGCCGTGGCCCGGCGAATCGAGTATGGTGGCCTGCTCGGACTTCACGACGGCGGCCAGGCGGCCGTGGACGCTCGCGGCGGCACTGCCCCAGACGGGGGCAGGGGCGTCGACGGAGTCCACCATCTCCTCCAGCGTCGAGGTGTTGGAGTAGGCGTCGTTGACTGCCTCCAGGAAGGCGGCGGCCTCACCGTAAGTGATGTTGACGGCGGGGTAGGCCAAGCGCATGACCCGAGACAAGCTGACGTCACTCTCGGTTGCGGCATCGATGACCTCTTGGACTGACATGTGCTTCAGCATGGCGTCTGCAGTTGGCTCGCAGATCTTCCAGGCCAGAGTGCTCGCACTTTGCAGATTGTTCCAGGCACCCTGGGCGAAACCGATCTGATTCGAAGCGTACTCGCCGCCATTGAGATTATCGCAGTCGTTGCTAACGTAGCACCACTGCTGACCAGAGCGGTTGGTGGGCTTGGATCCCCCGAGCAGGTCCACGTTCACACAAGCTGTGCTCAGGAAGTTCTTGAAGAAGTCCGCGCAGATTTTGTGGGGCAAGCCAGTGATGGGCTCGGTAGCAGCATATGCGGCCGAGAAGCCCCACTTGCTGAGAAAATACAGCTCGTTGGCACGACCGCATGAAGCAAGGCCTCTGTAGTAGACGTCCGCCCAGTTCTGACACTCGCAAGCACCACCAGCCCTTGCCTGTGAGAGCGTCAGAACGTCCAATGCCAGAATCAGGGTCATCGCCACCGACATCTGCCGAGACATCAACATGACCACTCAGGAGGTTATGAACTTCTGCAGTAGCGCTGAAGTTGGGCGTACAACTGCCCACTTGAGCCTAAATGGCTACGCATCGGGCCCTAATCCCCGAATGCCGCACATTCATGTCGTTGTTGGACGCCGCCGTCAAATATATTCACAACGAGCAGACGTGTGGCCGGGTGTTGCCTGAAGTGGTCTTGACCCAAGGTGCCCCCAGCTTTTCGCTCAACACGTGGGCCCCTGGGGCATTCTGGGCCTGGAGGGGAGTGCTCTGGAGGGTCTGATGCGCAGATCCTTGGAAAACTTCTGTTGGAGCCTCATTGGGCCAGGGGCACCTCCGACACCAAACGACAGGAGGTCGATCCTCATTCTCAGCCCCCAGGCCGTCTCTTCAATTTCCAAGACCGTAGAAAGACGACCAGGGACGAGAGACTGACCTCAGGGAAACGGTCGAGCAGCCGAGCCGAGGCCGAGCCGAACCGCGACATGCCCGAGGGAGGAGGCCTGGGGGGCGGAAGTTGACTGGGAGAAGCAGACCCTGAGGACCGACCCGAGCCCTTGACCAGAGTCCTAAGCCCTACCTTCCTTGGGCGCGAAGTATGGGAGGGGCGATCGATGAGGGAGGGAAGAAAAGGTGCCCTTCTCGGGCTTTAGAGGCCCCCTTCTGAACCGCGAAGGGCCCCTGTCGGGGCCGTGCAGGGCACCTTTTCTGCGGCCCTCGCTGCCCCCCCCCCCGAGGTATCGCCGCCCCGTTTACGCGTCCGCCGACTTCCTGCGGCACTTCTCAACCCGCATCGATCCGCGAACGTCCCATGGGGGCCCGAGACCGGGCGAACACGCCTGGAGCGAACAAACACGCAGCGCCTGGGTCTCAGGAGACGGGCTCTACAACCGGCGCCGGGACCTGGCCCAGGACCAGCTCTTCCTCCCGGCTCGCTCTTGTTAGGGTCCCGCCTGGTCAGGGCCCCCCGCAGCCGAACATGGACAACAATATATCCCGTCCTGATTTCGTCGCATCGGGAGGAAGCATGGGACCCCCCACCCACAAAGAACGAACGCCGCTACAGCGAGAGCTGTCCCAACTACGGAGATAAGCGTGTATCGCTGCAGCGGTCGGTGAATGTTTTCGATGCAACCTTGTCGAAGATGATGAATGTCTGAATGTCGGTGTCTGCGAGGACGGTGTGCCAAACTTCTGGTGTAGCTTTGAAGCCGCATGTCTTCTAATACTTGCTTCTCTGGTTTGGTCCCGCTACCAATGTTGGAGAGAACGAGTTTCACGGGCGCTCGCTTGGGGAACAGTCGGCGGCGCGTTTCGAGCCGGGGGGTGGGCCCGCCCCCCCCCCCAACACTCGGCGCCGTCGATCAAAACACGGGGGTCACCCTCCCCCCTGACCCCCCCCTCCCGAACCCCATCCCCATTCCCCCCCTGGCGCCAGCGCCGGCGCTGGCGGCCGCCAGCAGCGCCCACGGCGGGGACGCAGCGACGATGACCAGTGGCAGCCCGGGGGGGGGGGTTCGATACCCCACCCCCCTCCCGTGACGAGGGGGGGGGGTTCAAACCCCCCCCCCCTCGCGCCGGCGCCGGCGCTGGCGCCGGCCAGCAGCGCTGGCGCTGGCGCCGGCGACGGCGGGGACGCAGCGACACTTATCACCACTACCACCACCACCACCGCCACAACCCACCACCACCACCACCACCACTAACAGCACCACACAACCACCACCACCACCACAGCCACCACCACCACCACAACCACCACCACAACTCACCAACACCACCACCACAAAAACCCACCGCCACTACCACCACCACCACAACCTACCACACCACCACCACCGCCATAACCACTACCAGCAGCACAACCCACCACCACCACCACAAAAAAACACCACACCACCACCACCACAACCACCGCCACCATCACGACCACAACAAACGTCCGCAAACCACCGCCACCACCACAACCCACCAGCACCACCACCACCACTTCCACCACTTCCACCACCACCACAAACCACCACAACACCGCCACCACAACCACCACCACCACAACACCATCACCACCTCCAAAACCACCACCACTACCAGCAGCACAACCCACCACAACCACCACAAACCACTACACCATCACCACAACACCCACCGCCACCACCACCACGAGCACCACCTCCACAAACCACCGCCACAACCACAACCCACCACCACCACCACCACCACTACAAACCACCACCACACCACCACCAAACCACCACCACAACTACAACCCACCACCACCACCACAAACCACCACAACACCACAACACCACAACACCACCAAACCACCATCACCACCACCACCACCACCACCAAACCACCACCACCACCACCACCACCACCACCACCACCCACCGCCACAACCACCACCACCACAAACCACCACACCACCACCACCACAACCACCACCACCGCCACCACCACCACCACCACCACAACCCACCACCACCACCACGGTCGTCCTCGTCGACGGTCCCCGCCACCGCCGCCCGCCGCCGCAGGCGCCGGCGCCGGCTCAAAAATGGCAATCGTCGCCCCCGCCGCCGTCGCCAGCCGCCGCCGACACAAGCGCCGGCCCGAGGAGAGGGGAAGCAGAAGAGAGGTGAGGGGGGTTCGAACCCCCCCGTCACGGGAGGCGGGGGGGGAGCTTCGAACCCCCCCTCCCTCGTCACGGGAGGGGGGGGTTCGAACTCCCCCCACCCGTCCATCCAAGGGGGGGGGGGTCCGGTTTCACCCCCCCCTCCAAGCGACCACAGAACGCGCTCTTTCCAATGTTGACACATATACATGATACCAGCACGCATTATACCAGCACGATAAGCCGGTGCTGCACATGTATGAAAATAGCTCCATGCGAGTTCTCGCAAGTGCAAGCTCCGCAGGCCAAAATAGGCCCGAAAGAGCAACGCGCCAGATGTCGCAAGTAGCTTATGCCTAAGAATCAACGAGAAAAACGCATCCACCTAGAAACAAATGAAGGCCTACCGTGCGAACTGCCACAACCGCACATTTCTCGGCACGTCCATATCGGCTCGCCGCTGGTTCGCCCCCGTTCGCATAACCCTTCGCGCAATTTGCGGCCGATCCATTGGCGCATCCCGGCGGTTCAGGCCCGATCGGAACGGCGCTCGCCGCGCGCCGTCGCAGCGCATGCGGGTCTATTGCCACGCAGGGGCGCTCACAAGGTGGCTGGAGGTCAGCACGATCCGAGCGCGCGTCGAGACACGCAACCTACAAAACGAGCAAGTCCGAAACGCCCAGCGGCGCATTCAACATATCCGAAACAGCGATCCCACCGGGTGCTAAACGTCCCTGTGCGCCCAGGATCCATGGGTCAAGTGCCGCTTCTCTCACGTGACGAGGCGCCGCGGTTGGCGGTACCCAGGGCGACTGCGCGACCATTGCCGAACATCCTGCACGGGGAGGTGGCGCCGCTATTGGACAGCATTCCGCAGGGACGTCAAGGACGCATACTGTGGGTTCGTGGTATTGGCGCCCCTGGGCGCCCACGTTTGTTTGATGCACATCGGTGTTCTAAGGAGGGAGGATGCAATGCAATGGCGGTGCAAGTGTTATGGCACCCAGCCGCAGGACGCCTTGCCCCGACGAGTGCCTTCCCAGACCGCGGTGAATGTGCCCTCGACTCGAGTAGCCGCCATCTGGGCGAAAGCAAGGGGGCGCGATGTGATGTATTATTTTCTCTCTATCCGCGGGCTGGTGGGATCGATTCCGCTCGCACCAGCACGACATACCACATTTCGAAGCAGCGCAGCGGCAGGATGCCTCGCCCAGAGCAGCCCTGCATCACCCAGCTGAGGAGCCTGGAGAATGCCCATAAGTGGCATCACAGATACTCTCAGATTCGCCGGTCGGGGCACCGCGAAGGGTTAGAGTACCCAAGACTCCGTAGCATGGTTTCAAGATGGCCCCAGGCAGCACAGCATTGTCCCCTTGCTGAAGACAGCCGAAGATGGTTCAACATATCGTCCGACATGCCTCCGAGTGGCTGCGAGATGGTCCCAAAACGGCTCCAGGTGACTTCGGAACTCCGCAAAGACCCCCCAAGAGCCCAAACCCATCTGAATACTGTAAGTCCGCGGGCGCCAGGTGGTGCGAAACGGTCAGGCGCCGGTCAAAGCGAGCGGTGGGATGCACAAGAAGAGAATTGAGGCACGTAAGCGAAAGAGAAGCGAAGAGTACGAGGCAAACTCATTCGAACACAATGTGTGTGTGAATGTCAAATTAGGTGCATTCTCGCGCTCCTGCGACCTCGTGCGCACGGCTGGGGCGGCGGGGGGAAACCGTGAGAGGCCGACGCAGTGCGAGGGTGCCTCTTCTGCAGAGCCTATCTACAGAAGCGAAGGGACTCACCGACTGGTGGGAATACTTTTAGTCAGCAGCCGCAGGCGAGAGCGCCAGCGGCGAGTCGAGTCAGAGCGGGCGGCGCAAAGACGAATTAACCTAAAGCCGATGGGCCGGAGCCTCACGCGGCACCTCGGCGGGCAAGCCGGCGAGTGGAGGGGTGCTGGCTGCGGCTGCCAAGGAGCAGGAGGAGGAAGCCGAAGAGGGAAGCGGGTAGCTGAGGGGCCGACTGCCAGGGGGGCCGACTGCCAGGGTGTGCAAGCTGCTGAATTGGATGCAAAGGGTGAGCACCCGAGGGACTGCGAAGTACCAGGGTGGCCAGAGCCAGGTGGGCCGAAGCCTCCACGAGGCGAATTTGTGTGCGAGTGAATTGGCCAGCCGAAGCTGAAGCGCAGCCAAAATGGCGCGCGGGAACACCACGGTGCGACCAGGGTGAAGTACCTCAGAGCAGGCCCAAGATGCCTGCCAAGGTCTGGCGGGTGCAGGTGGTGGCGCCAGTAAAGTCGCACACCCAAGAGGGGCGCAGAATGCGAAACGCCAAGAATTACGAAAGCCAGCGAATGTGCCGCACAGTGCGGGCGGCGTGGCAACATACTTACGTCCACCCAGATTACAAGTAACAAGTACGGGCATCTCTAAGACGAATCGCGGGCCCCGGGAAGCCGGCGTTGCAGCCACCCCATCCGCGCGCGCGAAGCTCACATGACCTCAAGGGCTGAATGCCTGACGCAACCCAGAACACACGAGCTCCAGGAGCGCACTTTGCGCGCGCATGCATTGGGCCCAGCGGAGGCCGCGTGGCGTGCGAGACACCCCTCTCGCAATGGTACGAGCAATCACGTTACGACTGCGAACGACAGGGGGATCTCTTTCATCGCGCGCTCAAGTACGAACTGAACGCGCGCCGACCTGGGAAAACTGCAAAAACCCGCGCGCAAGCGATTGTCGCGACCAGGCGCACTGTGTACCGCTGGGAGGCGAGCGCGGTGGGAGGGTCGGGGCGGGGGTGAGCAAGGAGCTGGGGAGATTGGCAGGGGAGAAGAGAGCTGAAGGGCGGGGAGAGGAACACCAGTTATGTTAGTGCAAATGCCGGGGAAACGAAGACGAGCAGCAACGAGCGGGCTGTCACCACGACGAACCATGGAGGACGCCGAAACTCGAGCGAGAACGCGGAGCGCGATCCCCTTCGGATCGGGGGTCCATGCGCGTCCAGTCTCAAACCGACGCTGACTCTGCACAAGGCGACCCTGGCCGGCGGGCGACGCTTGGCTACGAGCTCCATTATATTTCCGCGCGCCCGCGGGCCACGTCGAACAACCTACTTTGCGAGCTTACGGTTCACGGCGGCATGGCAGATAACCCTACTGCGTCAAAAAGGGGGGGGACTAATTGGAACGCTAACTTTTCATGGGCGGCCTACTTCAAAACCTTCTCTTATGCTCGCCCCACCGCATAGTACGCAGTGATTCCGAGACAACGAACTTCGTACTTACACAGGTCGTCGCAAGAGAGGTCGACGTCGGCGCTCTACGGGCTCCCCTGGGGGTGGCCTGAAGGCCTCGCCGCACGTGGACAACGAGGGCGAGGACGACGGCGGCGGCGGCGGCAACCACCACAATCGGAGGTCTGGCGTCCCGAACAATCCTGCAAGCCCTTCGAGCCATTCTTTCCTCTTCCATCCCTTCGGGGATGCATACCTCCTCCCTTCCTGGGTCTGGACGGGGAAGGACGGATGGGGTTAGAGCGTCCAAGATGGCCCAAGATGGCTCCAAGAAGGCCTCTGATGCTCCAAGATGGCCTCCGAGGCGGCTCAAGACAACTCGAGATCGCTCAAGACAGCTTCCGACATACCTCCAAGAAGCCCGACGAGGGCCACAAGACGGTTCCAAGTGCTGGTGGAGCCCCGTCAGGACCCCCGTTGAGGCCCAAATCCTTCAAACACCTCACGAGAATCAATCATGTGTGCCCTCTCGCCTTTTCGAGTCGGATGCGCTGTTGAAGCGACAAAACGGCAAAAGATGGCACAAGAGAGCCACGAGAAGGGCCCACGATGCCCCCCAGGCGGCCCCAAGAGCGCCCAAGAGCGGCCCAAGAGGGCCTTGAGAGGCGATCTTGGTGGCCCCAGGGGGGAAGCAAATCGGAGACTCCCCTCTTTTGATCGATAGCCTTGAAGATGGCCTTAAGCTGCCCCAAGAGGACCCCACGAGGGCCCCAAGACAGCCCCAAGGGGACCCCAAATGCGTCCCACGAGGGCCCCAAGAAGCGGTTGATCATTTCCTCCTCCTCCTCCTCCTCCTCCTCCTCCTCCTCCTCCTTCCCTCGACCCCCCGCGGGCCCCAGGGATGGCCCGAAGAGGCCCTCCAAGGCCACCCACTTGCTCCCAGAAATCTCTCGGTTCACCCTGATTGCCCGCACTGTTTCACTGTATGTGCCCATTCGTCCCCTTTTCCGTCAACTCTCATGGGCAACGTTTCTGAATGGGCTGGTGGGGAGACGGGAAGCGTGAAGAATTCAGCGACGAAAAGAAATAGGTCTTACACAAGATGGCATAACGACCTTACGCGGTGGCCTACGCGGGCCGCCAGCGAGGCACGCTACATCGGAAACGAGGGCGCTGACGCACCACATTGCGCATGCAACTTACGCGCGAATGTCCGCGCAACCAATTCCGTTTTCCTGCGCCGCTCAATTGTCGAAGCCCCCACATCTCCGAAGGAGTGTTTTCTTCAGTCTCTCGGGGTGGGTACAACACGGTACCGATACCGCTGCTCCCTGGACCTCTCCAAGGGCGCGATCTGACCAACACCCCGAAGCGAACCCAACCGTAGCGACGAAGGAAAAATGGTACATAGCGGTGTCGGTATGCGCTCCTCTTCTGAATCCCGGCGGTTTTCCACAGCCTGCTCCTCCAGAAGCTGCTTTCGCGCCCCAGGGCTTCGAGCATGGATCCGTGGCTGCAAAACAGATCTAGGAATAGGGCCGCTGTTCAGGGGGCGCGAATTGCTACCACCGAGAAACCACACCGTCGGGACAGAATGCGTTCCCCCCCCCAGGAAGAAGCCCGCAGCTCAGGGGTCGCAGATTGCGCCCCCCAAAAAAACAACACATCGTCGGATGTCTGTGTCGTGGACAAAGTCCGAATGGATCTCTCGAACTCGATCTTTCTGCGGTAACCTTCGAGTCCAGACCTCCGACGTGGCGATTTGTTCAAAGCGTGGACCCCAAGAGGACGGGATCCGTTCCCCTGTCGAACGTGTTCATCCCGAACCGTCGGAGGCCTGGGGAGAGCAACAGGGACAAGGATAAGGCGTTGGGCGTTGATTACTGGGGGCTAGATATGCCCCGAAAAAACGAGCACGTTTCTTCACCCCTCCCTCCATCACCATTATGCAACGCCCAAAAAGGCGCCAGAAGGCTCTCGCGACCAGCCCATGCGAGCGATGCCAAGACCCCCGAGGGGGAACACGGACGCCGGGACCGCGTGCACCTAAGTGCCGCACGGGGGGCAGGAGGCAACTCAGGTCTCCTCCGATGGTCAAAAAAACTACTGAAGGTGTTTGGCATGTTTCCGTTTCTGGGGGGCACGAACTACCAGGCCCCAGGACCGCCAAAACACGACTCAGAACAAAAAGACGGTCCCGGTGATGGGTTCCATAGGCTTTGCAACAATCACACAGCGTCTGGGGCCTGGGAAGATCATTCAGCGTCACATCGGGAAACCAGATCGGATCGGAAGGTAGTGCGTCGGATCGGCCTACATCAGCACGGAGTCGAGATCGGATCGGGTCGGCCGCGCCAAGACGCATCGCAGCGCCACGAGAGCATCGGGCCGCGTTGGATCGCTGGGCGGAATCGGATCCGATTGGGCCGGCCAGTCGATATCGAGGTCGAACCGATCAGATCGAAATGGACCTTCGGATGCCTGGACCTCTTCTCCAGAACCGGCTTTTCATCCCGAGCCGTTTCTTGACGGCCCCAGAGCCCAGGAAGGGCCCCAGCAGCAGGAACTGGTCAAAAACCGGCCGCCGTGGTCCCCCCCCACACCGAGCGGAAGCACGAGAAGAAGACAGAACTGCACGAACGTAATTTCGTTGAGGTCCGCGCGGATATTTTGGATCTGCGCTGAACCCCCCCTCCCTGGCTCCGCGGCGCCGGAGGCGCCGCCTGGAGGGGTCCAGCGCAGATCCAGGAACTCCGCCTGGACCATCCAAAGCTTATTTTTTATGCGTTTCTTACTCCTCTTCGGGGTACCCGAGCGGGCCCTGCAGCCCTGCATGGGAGGGGGTCCTCCGCCATCTCCAGCTCTATCAGGCAGGCGTGCTGCATGTTGCGCGGCGGATCGCGCAGCACGCGCGCCGCGCTCCCGCCCTGCCTCTCGAGGTCGGCGGCGAAGACGGCCTCCAGCGCGCGGGCGGACGCGGGCTCACAGAGAATGCCTCCTCCCTCGCACCTCCCAATCATGTAGACTCGGCGCCGAATTTGATAGTGGGAACGCCGATGGCAGCTCCCTTCCACGTTGTAGCATAGTGATAACCTCATGAAGAAATTTAGACCCCCCCTGGGTTATCGATAGCGCCGAAGCGAAAAGAAATCATCCGTGGGGGAGGATGCAGCGCAGCGAAATCTTCAGCACCGCAGCGAATGAATGATTGCTTCCCCCCCCCACTTGCGGCACAGCTCTCGCACGCTTCGTGGCCCCATCGGGATGTCTCGTGACAGGCCCAGTGGCTCCGCTCGCGTGGCGCCGCTGCGCCCGAGCGGTGTCCTTACTGGACGGACCACGTGACAGGATGGCTCCGGGAGCCAGTGGGCGCCAAGTGCCAGGCGAACGCTCCAGGATGGTGGTGGCTGCGTTATCACTTCACCAGAGAAGGGGAGTTCTTTATGGCTCCATGCGGTTGCTTGGGTGCGACGTGACAATTCACGCCTTCTCCCTCGCGCCCCCGCCCCCTCATGTAGCCTCAGTGTCGAAATTCGCAACGGAAACGCAGATACCAGCTCTACGCTGTGACATCTGCCGCCGCGACGTCTGTTCTCGACGTGTGGACGACGCCGACCACCACGGCAAACGCAGCGTCCAGCGCGCAAGCAGGCGACGCCGAAACCGCGGCAAACCCCACGGTGCGCCCACCGCGACCAAGGCGGCGTTTGCCCTGGTGACCGAGTCGCCCGTCCCAATACGCAATGGTTGCAAACATTTTCAGAATGTCGATGAGCCTCAATATGTGACAAGGTCATAATCATACGAAGCCACAAACGGGACACAAAAGGATCAAGCCAAATCACGATCACGACCATTTCGGAACGTTCCTGAACGTCCTCTAAGAGCGTTCCGGAACGCTAAAGAAAAAATAGAGGGAACAGAAAAATACGGAAACCCCTGCTCCCTGGATCTCTCCCGGGGTGCGTTCTGACCGAGAAGTCAAACAGAATGCAGCCGTGGTGATGTTGGGCGACCCCAGGGGCCCAGAAAGGGCCACGAGAAGCCGAACATAAGCCAAGCCTCCAGACCCCTCCCTCAGAACATGTTCTTGATTCTGGCGACCCTGAAAATCGTCCCACCGTCCTCTCTGGTGGTGCATTTTGACCAGGCTTTCGAAGGGAATCCAAACGTGGCGACAGGAAGCTTCCGACAGGCCAATGGAAGGGCCCCAAAAGCCAGAAAGGGTCTTCCTCTACAACCGCATAATTGTGCATGGCGGAAGACCAGTCCTCATGAAAAGCATCCCTACAAGCGAAGCCATTGAGAAGTACACAATGGAGGACTTTAGGACGACAAGGCTGTTAAGTAAACGAACGCGAGCGGTTAGCAAACACAATGTGTTGGGGGGGTCGCCGGGGGAAGGGGACGATGGGATTGGCGGAAGCCGCCAGAAGCCAGGCAAGGGGGGTGAGGGCGGTGAGTGGAAGAGGTGGAGGAAGAGGGCAATCCATTGGGTGGCGGTGGAAGAAGAGGACGACGAGATGAGAGGGAACAACGCGGAGGAAGCGCCCCCCTTTCGTCTTTGTCGGGGTGCTTTCTCGCAGCCCACAAACATATTCATATCCATGGCCTCTATGTCAGGAGTCCTCGGCCGCGACCCCACGGACACAGGACGGCTTTGCGCGGGCTGCCCGCTCGGAACACAACCATGGGATAGCATATCCATGAGACCAGGCCTCGGTACGGTGGGTTCGTGTCCTGACGACTTGCGAGGTGTTTTTTGCCACCGCCTGGACCGCTCAACCTTGGAAGGCCGCGGCTTTCCGATAACGCAGGTCGCTCGATGACGACCGATTCTGGGCCACTGGCGGCGTTCAACCTCGAACGCCCGCGCTGGGGCACCCGCCGCGTCGACACGACACGAACCTGCCGTACGTTTGGGAGGGCGGGTAGCAATTGTCGACGTCGGCGTGGTTCGCGGAGGGCGAGAGCGGGGAACACGAGGGGCTGGGGGCCCCTCCCAGGGCCCCAAATCTGGCCGAAATCGGCGCGTCCCCCCACCCGCGCTATGGCGGAGATCGGCCAGAGCACCCCCCCCACATGGTGGAGAGCAGGGCACACGAGGGTCTGGGGCTCCGGCGGGGCCCAAGATCTGGCCGACATCGGCGTGCCCCGTCGGAAACGCCGGCCGCAACACCCGCGCCATGGCGGTCGAGAGATGTCGCTCTTCGTGGAGCGCTCATTATGGATGCGCTCGTCGCCCTCGATTCTCCTCACCTGAGCGCGAAACCTCCCTCGGCCGCGGGAGAGGCGCACGGGGAGGGGGGGGCCTCGACCACGCCGCTCTCCCAGGTCACGCTGCACAAGCCGATCTCCGGCGCGGCGCTCGTGAGGAGGCCCGGCCCGACGCGGCGTTCGTTGGGCTGCCGCGGCCACACGCGGAGTCCCTTCACCAGCTCCGCGGGCTTCACGGCGCATCGCGCACCTGTCGGGAGCTGCCACAGGGCGAGCCCTGAGATCGGGGCGTTGCAAGTTTTGTTCACACCGTGCATTCTCGCCTGGTTGTGGACCCCGGGACCACACACATCGATCCGGCTCGAAAAATGCGGCGGAAAGATGGGGTCTAGGGCTCGGGTCGTGATCTCCACAGTGTTGCAATGTTTGTTGCAGCGTCGGACCTCAAGGATCCTGACCCCAAAGCGTCTGGCTTCCCGCGCCGCGTCTGGCCCCTGCCTCTGGGCCCCGCGCCGGGCGCTCTGTAGACTCTTGGGGCCTGCCTGGGGAAGCTGGGGTCGCCCTGGGCCAGCGCCGCCCTCGGCAACCCCCGAGCTGTGGCGGAGGAGGGAGGAGCAAGGAGAGACGACCCCAACACCACCGCGGTCGAGGGGCAGATGGGGGCTCTCGTGGTGTGGCGGCGCGGTGCCTCTACATGTTTTGGCGTCGCGCTCGAGACATGACCGATCTTCCGCTCGGGAAGCACCTCGGCGCCACGCAAGACTGACCCTGGGCAAGGGACCACTGGCGCGCGGCCTGACGAGGATGCTGGGGAGGCCGCGTCCAAGCGCGCAGGCAAGTGCTGGGGCACTCCTGTGGGCCCGCAGCCAGAAGGGCATTCCGGCGAATGGTCACTTCTCCGCGCAGGCGGGCGTCGTGGATCTCCCCGCGGGGCGGGCGATCATGCTGGCGGAGATGCCACCTCTCATTCCCCCGGACCCTCGGCGGAGTAGGAAAGGGAGAACCCGCAGGGGGGCCCTCTGATCTCCCACAACGTTTTTCACTTTTCGGCGCGGACCCCTGGAGTTCTCGGGCTCACCTCTGGGACCCGTTTCTATGTTGTGGCAGATCCTTTGATTGATGGCCTGGCCGCAGACAGTGTTCCCCGTGGCGCCCAAACCTGTAAATCAAACTGGCTTCTCTTCGCCACGACCGACTCCCACTTCTGGCCCAGAGCCCCTCCTCTGACCAAGATCCTCCGAAGCGAATCCAGCCGTGACTACCAGGAAGGGGGCGGGAGGAAGGGGAGGGTGCAGGGAGGGGGAAGGCTAGGAGGGAGGAGGGACGGAGAGGGCCACGCCAGGGGAAGTCCACCGTCGACTGTGCCCCAGTGTCCCCCCTCCTTTCTTCCACTTCCATCCCCCTTCCATCCCTTGCCCCCTCACTTCGCCTCCCCCATTTCCCTCTCCTCCCTCCCGCCCCCTCATTTTTCCCTTTCATCAACTCCCTCCCGCCCTCCCCGATCCTCTCCCTTCATCGCCCTCCATCTCCTTCCCTCTGTTTCCCTCCCCTCCCCCTCCCCCTCCCTCTCCTCCTCCTGCTCTCCTCCTCCTCCTCCTCCTCCTCCTCCCTCCTCCTCCTCCCCCCTCCCCCCCCTGCTGCTCCTTTTCATCCTCCTTATTCCTGCCTCCTCCTCCTCCTCCTCGTCCTCCTCCTCGTCCTCGTCCTCCTCCTCCACCTTCTCCTCCTCCTCCTCCTCCTCGTCCTCCTCCTCCTCCTCCGCCTCCTCCTCCACCTCCCCCTCCCGACAAGACTCCGCTCAGAACCGGCCCCAAACCCATCGCGGGTCCATCCTGGAAATTTGTTTGTCTTGCTCGATGCTCGACGGCCCTGAGGCCCGAAACACGAAGCAGGCCCCCAGAAACTGAATGGCGAACGAAACTCGTCGAGCCTCTCGTCCTCAACCTCGAATGAAGAGGAGGAGACGACGTACCCATCGAATGAAGAGGAGGAGGAAGAGGAGGAGGAGGAGGAGGAGGAGGAGCAGGAGGAGGAAGAGGAGGAGGAAGAGGAGGAGGAGGAGGAGGAGGAAAAGGAGGGGGAGGACGACGACGACGAGGAAGAGGAGAAGAAGTAGGAAGAGGAAGAGGTGGAGGAGGAGGCAAAGGAGGGGAAAGAGGAGGCGGAGGCGGTGGCGGAAGGGGAGGGAGAGAGGGAGGGGAAGGGGGAGGGGGAGGGGAGGGAGGAGGAGGAACAGGAGGGGGAGGGGGAGAAGGAGGAGGAGGAATAATAAGAAGGAAGGAAGGTCATTCCGTGGAGCGCTGAGTCCCACAGGGCCAAGCTCAGAGGCTGATTCCGAGCGCGAGGAAGGTGTCGAAGTCCAGCGACTTAACGAACACCCACGAGAGGCCGAAGACGAAGTAGGTGAGGGGGAAGACGGTCCGACGGTGCATTATCGCCCTCCCCCCGCCGCTCCGGAGCCCGGCGCCAGCGCCAGCTCCTCGAACGGCTCCGCGTCTTCGACGGCGATGGGCCACACCACAGCGCGGCTGCCTTTGGCCATCAACGCCAGGACGGTCGCGCGGCCGTCCTCCTCAGCCTCCTCGGGTGTCCGTAAAGCGTCCCTTCACGCGGTCGAGGACCATCACGGAGACGTAGACCATCACGAAGACGGACGCGGTCGCCGTCCCGCAGGCCCGAAAGCCTAGGGCGGCGCGGGGGCGGCCGCACAGGCAGATCATCAGCCCACTCGTCATTCATGACGTCGTCATCGTCATCAGGGGGCTTCGGGCCGCCCTTGTCCTGCGCCACGTCGCCCAGCGCAGCACGCTCCCCCTGGGTCACCTCCACGTCCAGCTGCATCGCCGTCACCCGCACCCGCACGCCCTCCTCGCCCCCGCGGGCGGCACCGCCGCCGAGAGGCAGCAGCGGGCGAAGCCGCCGCCGTGGGAGGCGCGGCGGGTACGGGCGGCGCCGTCAGGGTCGCGATGGCCGCCCGCAGGAGGCTTTCGGCGGCGCGCGCGAGGCGCTGGGACTCGCGGCGCTCGCCCGTCAGCCCAGCAGCAGCGTGCGTCACCAGGAACGCGCCATGGAGGGCGTCCTGCGACACTCGCGCACGGCGGGCATCCTGCGCACAATGCATCGGAGCGACGGCGAAGGGGGTCTGCGACGACGATACTGAGCCGAAATGGTACTGGAAGACGAGGAGGAGGAGGAAGAGGAAGAGGAGGAGGAGGAATAGGAGGAGGAGGAGGAGGAGGAGGAGGAGGAGGAGGAGGAATAGGAGGAGGAAGAGAGGAACGATGGCGCGAGGAGGATGAAGAAGCAGGAAGAACAGGGGCAGGAGGTAGTTACGGTCGGGATGTACTGCTTAGCGTCGCAGAGCCCCAGCGTAACGCTATGCCTTGCAAGCGGAGAGCGTGTCGTTCCATTTCGCGGGGCGGGAAACTGCGAAGGAGCGCGTTTCACGGGCGCTAGCCACGGGACCATTCGGCGGCGCGTTCGAACCAGCCCCCCCCCAACTTCCAACGCCGTCGAACAGAGCCGGGGGCCCCTTCCCCCCATGACCCCCCCCCGACTCCAGATTCGGATCAAATCCTGAACTGGACACTTCGGCTCGTAAGCCGAAAACGATATGAACGACTGACCATATATCTATATGTATGTATATACATATCTATATATACATACATATGCGTGTGTGTGTGTGTGTGTCTCTGGCTGCTCGCAATTTGAACCACCAACGCCGTCGTTATGTAGCAAAACTGGGATATGGTCATGCGGGCATGTGGCAAACATGTAAGGCCTCGGGATGGGACACTACGCCTCTCAGATCCTGGGCAGCATGATCTCAACTCTGGTCCTATTTCCTTCTAGGCACATTGGACCCATTAGGAACATACCCGGTAGCGGCTTTGGAGGCAAATTGACGAAGCGAAGCGAACGATAGGAGGTAGGAGGCCGTCCGATAGAACAAATCATATCATAATCGCCACGGCAACCCAAAAATTGACCGCCCTCCCGGGCCCGGGACGACCCCGGTTGAACGCGCCACGGGGGAACGGAGGGCCTCACAACGGGCCAAGAAGGCCCCAAGGGGCCCCCAAGACGGTCCAAGAGGGCCCCGGGTCGCCGAAAAATCGAGCCATGACGCCCAAGATGGCATCCCGACGGCGCAAGATGCGGCCAAAACGCTCCCAGAGGCCTCCAAGAGGCCCCCCGAGAAGGCCCCAAGAAGCAAGCATCTGCCCATTCCCGTGGGCATGCGTATGATTTTAGCACATTCGCCTCTGGGTTTTCCACAGCGACCACGATGGCCCAAGAGGCTTCCAAGATCGCCCGAAAATCTGCCTAGGCGGCCCCCAACAGGGCTCCAAAACGGCCTCAGAGGGCCCCTGGATGGCCCCAAAAAACCCCAAAATGGCACAGGAGGGCCCCAGGACGGCCCCAAGAGGGGGAGCCCGAACAAATATATCGAGCCTTCGGCCCCAACGCGCCCCCAGGTTGCCCCAACAAGACCCAAAGGAACTGCGAAAGGGCCCCACGAGGCCACCATGAGGCCCCCCAAAGGCCAAAAACTGCCTCCAAGACGCCCCCGAAAGGCCTCCCAGGAAACCCATGTACCATCCGATTGGCCTCAACACCCCAACCCACGGTGGCGGGATGCCCCCCCCCCCCCGAAAAACCCCCAACGACAGCCCGTCAACTATCCCAGTGGTCTCAGACCCAAGAGTCAAGCACGGTGGCGGGATGGACCGAAGGCCGTTCGATGATCATGCGCCCACGGTGAACACAATTACCCCGTTGGCCTCAGACCCACAAGCTAGGCACAGTGGCGGTATGGGCCGAAAACGATTTGATAATCATGCGTCCACGGCGAGCACTGCGAATGTTAGCCGCAGCAAAAAGATTGATCCCAACGAGTTCCCGTCTGGACTCTGACACTGCCCCCCCCCCCTTCGCCCCCCGAGAACGCCCCGAAAAAAACCCGCGAAATATCCCCGAAAATCTGACGCACAACCGGGCTGGGATGGACCGAAGACTACGAAAGACTTCGCGGTCAGGAAGCCCGCGCAAGTTCTCCAGATCCTGTGTGGACACATGCGTTCCAGGGGTGCCGGCGTAATCGCCAACGGCCCCCTGAGGCCCCAGTTAGGACCCCAAGCCTGGATCCTCACTCTTCGTCCCCCTCCTGCCTTCTTCATCCTCCTCCGCCTCATCCCCTGCCTCCCTCTGCCCCATCCTACCCCGCATTGTCCTCTTCGTCCTCTT